TATATGGGAGCTATATCTAAATCTGAACCGATTTTCTCCAATTTCAATAAGGTTCGTCCTTGGGCCAAATAAGTGAACTGTGCCAAATTTCATCCAAATCGGGTCATAAATGCGACATGTACTTTGTTAAAAAAATACATGGACGGAAGGACTCGACTCAGAAAGTGATTCTATGCATATTCTCAAAAGGAACCATGGGTCTACCTCTACTCCTTTTGGCTGTTACAAACATATGCACAAAGACATAATACCCTGTATCACAGAGTGGTGAAGGTTATAAAAATCTACGCCTTGGATATTTCCTAAAAATAATTTTTAAAAATCTACGGCTTGTATATCCTTTAAAAAATATTCTTTAAAAATCCAGTCCTTTTTCTTAATCCACGCCTTGGAAATTAAAAAAAAAAAAATAATAACCACACCTGCAAATAAATGTTTTACACCATAATTTTTGTTAAAGTTCAATGTTTTGTTTAATTATTGATTTCTAAAAATGAAATCCTGATTCGAATTAAATTCAATTAATGGCTAAAACGTCCATTAGATATGGAGTGAATGGCTATCAAATCAATCATTCAACAAACTATTTGCAATGCAATCAATAAATTATGTGTCGTCAGTTGTAATTTTAACATACACTAATACATACATATTCGCCATCATCATACATATATGTATTCGCCGATGCAATAAATATGGGCGAATTTCCCCGTAACATTACGATTCAAACCTGTTTGATATGAAATTTGCTTTGGATGCTGATGACGAATGTTGAGATGCGGCATTTCCATTGAGAAAAATCAACAAACAACAAAATAAACAAACCGATTTTCCATAGTCACAAAAATCCGTTGATGATTTCCATTGGCTGCTAGATTAGGGGAAAGCACCGCGGGGTTCGCCGAACATGCCACGAAACAGACAAAAAAATGTTTTGCAAAGGCGGCATCAACAACACCGACCGACCATCTTCGAGTGCCAGAGTCAAGGTGAAGTTGAACATGATGTTGTTGCAATTTTCATTGTTGTTGTAGATTATCAGCAGACGTCTTGAATGAGGCATCAGCAGCAAAAACAAACGGGTGACTACTATTGACTGGATGGGTTTTTTGTTGTTGTTGTTGTTATTATTCGGTTGTATAACGCCTGTCTTTGTTATATTTGGAAGAAAACATCACCGAGTTGCTTCCCCTGTATTTGGGCCTGCCACAAAATGTGGCATGATCTGAAATGCGTTTTACGACTTGATGCAATTTCATGAAAACGAAGCAATTGCGCAATGCCATTTTGTTGGTGCTGTTGTTGTTGTTTCGATTTTATTTTGTTTTTCATTCGGGTCGACAAGTTTCCACAACCAGTTTCCATTGAAAGTAAAGATCCGAAAGAGAAAAAAATAAAGTCTAGATGCAGCAGCAACACAAATAAAGTGGAGTGTAGCAGCAACAACAACAAACACCTTTAACTCATGGTGTTTATAGACAAATCACTGCTGCTGCTGCCATACCAGAAATGACAAACGGAAGCGACAATGAGTGCTTCCAACAGCAGCAGCAACAACAACAAACCGGCAGCCACCACCATCATTGTCGTCATCAGCAACAAAGTCAGCGGTAATTGTTTTACAATTTTTTGGCGCGAAAATTTTTTTGTTGCAGCCATTGTAAACAGCAACAATGCACTGTCATTCAATTTTGTTTTCAATTTTTTTTTCGAAGAGAGGTTAAGTTAGGTTATCAGCTTAGAAAATTGTTGGGGTTTTGTAATCGCATGCTAATGCTAGTAATTTATGCTTAAAACGAGTAATTGAATGCATTTGTGCTCCATATATGGTAGTTGTTTTGAACCAATATATATTTTGCGAAATTAATTTGTATTTCAAAAAAGTAAAATTAAAAAAAAAAAATTAAGAAATATCCATGGCAAAGGTTTAAAAAAAATATTTTTTTAAAGCTTTGGACTTTTAAAATATTTTTTTTTTTATTTTTTAGAAATTATTCAAGGAGTGAATTTAAAATAAATATATATTGTAAAAATATACACGGCATGTATTTCTAATGAAATATGTTTTTGATAATTAAACAGGGCGTGGATCTTTCAAATAAAAATTTTTAACAAATGTCCAAGGCGTCGTTTTTTTTAAATGTTATTTTTTAAGAATTAATCAAGGCGAAGATAAAAAAAATGAAAATTGAAATAAGATGAGGATTTAAAAAAAAATTGTTTTTATACCCTTCACCACACTGTGAAGGGTATCATATAGTCAATAGGAATCGAGATAGACCCATGCTTCCTTTTGAGAATATGCATAGAATCACTTTTTAAGTCGATTTATACATGTCCGTCCGTCCATCTGTCTGTCCATGTTAAATTGTAAACAAAGTACAGGTCGCATTTATTATCCGAATTGGATGCAATTTGGCCTAGGTCACTTATTTGGCCCAATTACGAAACCTGTTGAAATTGGGAAAAATCGGTTCAGATTTAGATATAGCTCCCATATATATTTTCGTTCGATTTAAGGTAAATGGTGTACCAAAGCTCCGAAATATAACCTATTGACATAAAATTTCGCACAACGTACAGAAGTTAGTATAACCTACTGTGTGTAAAGTTTCGCTAAAATCGGTTCAGATTTAGATATAGCTCCTATATATAGTTTCGTCCGATTTTCAGTAAATGGGAACCAAAGCTCAAAAATATGGCCGATTGGCACAAAATTTTGCAGAACGTTCTGAAGTTAGTATAACCAACGATGTGGAAAGTTTCGCTGAAATCTGTTCAGATTTAGATATAGCTCCCATATATAGTTCGATCCGATTTTCAGTAAATGGGGCACCAAAACTCCAAAATTCTGGCCGATTGACACAACATTTTGCAGAACGTTCTGAAGTTAGTATTACCAACGATGTGGAAAGATTCGCGGATATCGGTACAGATTTAGATGTAGCTCCCATATATAGTTTCGTCCGAATTTCAGTTTATGGTCCACCACAGCTTCAAAATTCTGAAGTTAGTGTAACCTACGGTGTGGAAAGTTTCGCTGAAATCTGTTCAAATTTATATATAGCTCCCATATATAGTTCCATCCGATTTTCAGTAAATGGGGAACCAAAGCTCTAATATATATATATATATATATATATACGTCCGATTTTATTTCAAAAATGAACCGAAGAAGACCCGCATATGGCCAGTAGGCATAAAATGTTAAGCGACGTCCTGAAAATAGTTTAGCTCCGATTTGGAGTAAATAATGCACCAAGGAACCAAAATATGACGAAATGCTAAAAATGTACTGCAGTTAGTATAAACTTGAACGTTGAAATCGGTTCGGATTTGCATATAGCTTTCATATATATTTTTGCCCGAATCAAATCATATGGTGCACTAAACTCCTCATTTCTGTCAGATTGATACGAAATTTTGCACAAAGTACAAAAATGAGCAAAGAATGACGTATCTGCATTTTGTAGAAATGCAGACATTAACATGAAGTCGATCGAAAATATGTTTGGGATATTTTCGATCGACTTCATGTTAATTGATCTCCAAATAATCAATACATGTCCAATTGAGATTTGCTTTAAATTAATTTATATAACTTGCCCCATTGCAAACAAACGACTCAATAATGACATGTTTAAGAATTGATTTAAATCGGTTCACATTTAGATAAATATCAAATATTTTAGTTCATCCAATTTTATGTTAATGGTCCTGTTGTTACACCTAAAGTGGTGAAGGGTATCATTAAGTCGGCCCCGTTCGACTTTACTGCTTTCCTTACTGGTTTTTTAAATGATCCCAGGCGTAGACTTCTTAAAAATATATTTTTATTTTAAGTTATCCACTTGCCCATGTTCCCGATTTAAAATATATTTTTTTATAATTTTTTTTTTAATAAAAATTATCAATTATTCAAATCTCGTATTTAAAAAAATACTTTTTACAGAGAATACAAATTTTAGCACTATTTGAAAATTTTTTTCTAACAAATCTATATTTTATTCCCACGAAAATACAAGTGTGTTGCAATTTGGCACCAAAGGCAAACGACTCTCAGTCAACACACATATTTTGCCGCTCTTGCGGATATTTGCTATAAAAATTGAATTGTGACACTTTACAAGCGCCATCATTTGTATGTATGAAATGTGGCATGACGTTGAGGTTCCAATTAGAAACGCCTACAAATGCAATTCTCATTCAAAGAAAGCAAAAAAAAAACTTCAACTGAATTTTTCGAAATCAAGAACAAATTGTCAACAAATATTTATTCATAACAGCTGGCAAAGCTGCAATGTTAGTAAGTATGTATGTATGTCGTTATGTATGCTGTTGTAATGATCAAGTATTTTTTTAAAATATTCGATTGCAACTAAAGTGAGATCATTTTCTCTCTATGTGGAACTAACGTAGGTTGAAGTATGAAAAAAAAGAAATGAACAACAACAACAACATAACAACAAAAAACCAGTAGAATGACAATGCCTACAACATTTTGTCAGGCAGTTAGCTGACAGCCTGACTGCCAGGCACCCCACTGTAGCCACTGTTGAACCAGCAGCCAGTATTGAGGGGGCTTTTGATTTGTTACGAACGAAAACGAAAGACCTGAATGAGGACTCACGTAGAATGACAGGGGGGCCATACATATGTTGGCTTTGTTTTTGGGGGAGGTGGTGGCCAGGCCATGTGGATTACATCGTTCGATGGCAACGTCAGCTGCAGTTGCATAAATTTGTAATTCCAAATTTGTATGAGTGAATCTAAACAACAAATGTAGGTGCTGATCTTCTTCGTTTATTTCTCTTTTTTAATGGAAAATCCCAGCTTTACAACTAATGGTCTCCCACATCATCTTCTTCCTGCTGTTTGGATTTATTCTCAATACCATCTGCCTCGCATTCTTTTTTATAGAGATTAAGTTGTCAGCTTAGAAATTTGTTGGGGTCTTCTTTATTTATTTCTCTTTTTTAATGGAAAATCAAGCTTTACAACTAATGGTCTCCCACATCATCTTCTTCCTCCTGTTTGGGTTTATTCTCAATGTCATCTGCCTTGTCGTTGAATGTTAAATTCACATCAAAGTCAGATCTTTCGAATATCTGCAACGGCATATAGTTTTGCGGTATTGGCCAAAACAATGACTCCTCATCCTGATGTAGAGGTATAAGACGATAGGTCTTGGCATATTCTTTGACATTACGATAGAATTTCTGCGACTTCAATACCAATTCAATACGCTGAACTTCGGGTAGAAGTTTATTGTATGGATCTGCGGGCAGGGTAGTTTCCATTTCCATATCGTCGTTTTGTTTAATGTGTGCGGCAAATGTTTCGGCCACCTGTCGGATTTTTTCCATTAATTTCAAATGCTGTACACTCATCTGACTGGCATCATCGGGTGTGGCAGGTGGAAATTTCTCATTGATATTTATCACAGCCGAACGGCGGCAATGAAATATGCTGAAATAGGTCTGAATAGGAGGGGGCGAAATTAAACAAATATTTTTGAAGGCGTGAATTTCTTTAAAAAATATTTTTTAATATTCAAGGATTGAATTTTTAATTTTTTTTAAGGCGTGGATTAAAAAAATATTTTTTTAAATATTCAAGGATTAAATTTTTAATTTTTTTAAGGCGTGGATTTAAATTTTTGTTTTTAAATATTCAAGGATTAAATTTTTATTTTTTTTTAAGGCGTGGATTTAATTTTTTTTTAAATATTCAAGGATTAAATTTTTAATTTTTTTAAGGCGTGGATTTAAAAAATATTTTTTTAAGAAATATTCAAGGCGTGGATTTAAATTTTTTTGAAATGATATTGAAGGCGTGGGTTTTTTGAAATGATATTGAAGATGTGGATTATTTAAAAAAAAATTCACACTGTTTTTAAGTTGTGTAGAATACCAATATACCAGCATACCATATTATCGTTTATAAATTCCTTACCTCTCCAATATTATCCTCCACCATAAAGACTTTCGATTCCGTCCACAAACTATCATGTATGGCAGCCAGTTCATAGAACAACTCTCCCAACATATCCTCGTCGCCCTCAATCATCAAATACGAATACGAATCCATACACACAAACAAACCCGACAAAATATCCTGCGTACATTTCCTCTTCTCCAACATGGTAAAAATTCGATCCATTTGTTTTTGAAAGAATACCCGGAAATCACGCTGCCTAGCTCCCTTTGCCGCTGAATATACCGACTCCTTGCCATTTGGTTTATCATTTTCAGGAGGTTCAAAATTCCTCGCCAATACAAATACTCGTTGGAAAAATGTTTTACGTCCCTGAAGCTGCAATCCTTCACGTACATAGGCATTGAGAGCTTTCCGAATTTGAAATTGTTCTTCATCGGTTTTGACAAGAAATTTTGAGTGTCGCGAATATCGGGATGAACGTCCATAGCGAGATGCACGAATTTTTGCTAGGGAGTCCACTTCGGGTTGATTGGGTATGGTTACCTGATGGCGAGATGAACCAGCTCGTAGTAAAGGTTTTTTCGATGGTTTTTCTTTTGAGGACATTGCCGCTTAGGAGTTGTGAATTTTGCGGAATAAATGTTGAATAAATTTGTTATTTGAAAAATAAACACATTTCTCTGAATAATTTGTGTTTGTTTTGTATGGGTTGCCAAGAAATCTTTGCCATAACAACAGCTCAAAATTTAGGGTTCACAAAATTAAGGAAAAATTTGTTCATGCGGAAACATTTGTCAAAGTCCTAGTCCTGATTTACATTAAACAATTTTACCTGCAGCTATTCTATGTTTTTAGGTGCAGGTGTTTGACATTCTCCGCACTTCTCTCACCAACAATCTACAGATTTTATATGCAAATTAATCAGTGTGGGTTTTTGGAAATTCGAACTAGAAGGGTTCAAAAAAGTACTAAAATGTACTAAATATGGTACCCTTTGTATTAGGAAGAGCTAGAATTCTAAAATTTGGAATATGGGTCACTAATGGAAAGTTTGAAAGATGTACAAAAGTGTTTTTGGATATACGTCCTACAAGTGTACGAAAAGTACTAAACTTTACTAAATTTAGTTCTAATTGAACATATATAGCTAGAATCTTGAAATTTTATATGGCATACAGGTTTTAGAAATTCATATTAAATTCATGTGTATGAAAAGTACTAAGTGGTACTAAATTTGGTACAAGTTGGATTTAGGTGAATAGATAGAACTGGAGACTTCAAATTTGGTACTAAAATGACTGTTGGAGTGTAAGATTGAGGTAGTATAGTGTACGTATGTGTACGTAAAGTACTAAATGTTACTAAATTTAGTACAATTTGAATTTTGGGTGAACGTATAGAGATTAAAACCTGAATTTTGGACTTAATATTACCGTTGAGAATTGAGCTATAGACAAAACTTTGGAAATTCGTATTTTTGTGTACGAAATGTACTAAACGCCACTAGATTTGGTACAATTTGGATTTGGGTGAAGAGAGATATCTGGAAATCTAAAATATGGAATAATGGTTGCTGTTCGAGTGTATAATTGAGATATGGAAGTATAGTACTTATGTGCACGAATTGGTACTATATTTAGTACAACTTGATTATGTGCGAACGAATAGAGCTGGACTCCATAATTTTGGAATTAAACTTGCTGTTAGAGTACAGGATTGAGGTAGTGTTGGAAATTCTAATTTATAAGTACTAAATGGTACTAAATGTGGTACAATTTGAATCTAAGTAAAAGAATAGGGCTGAGATCTTGAAATGTATGATTCAAATTACTCTTGGAGTGTAGAATTTAGGATGTTTTGGAAAATCGCATTTACGTCTACGAAAAGTAATAAATAGTACTAAGTTTGGTAAAATTTGGATGTTGGTGAACGGATAGAGCTGGAATCCTTAAATGTGGACTTAAGTTTGGAGAGCATGATTGAGGTAGTTTTGGAAATTCGTACTGGGTATGAGAAGTACTAAATTTGGTACAATTGCATTCTTGTGAATCCTTAAAGATGCAATTAAGATTACTATCGGAGTGTAGGATTGCGATAGTTTTGGAATATGGGTACGAAAAGTACAAAATGGTACAAAATGTATACAATTTGGATTTTGGTGAATATATGGAGCTGAAATTCTTAAATATGGACTTACGATTACTATTCCAAATTTGGACTTTTGTGGAATAATGAATAAATGACACTAAATTTGGTACAATTTAAATTTGGGTCAATGGATAGGCCTGGAATCCCGAGATTTGGAATTTAGATTACTGTTGGAAATTCGAATTTTTGTGTTCGAATAGTAATAAATGCACTAAATTTGGAACAATTTAAATAACGGAGAGAACTGGAAACTTAAAATTTGGTATAACGATTACTGAGATATGAGATATGGGCGTGGTTTTTAAAATTCATACTTAGGTAAAGTAAACGGTACTAAATTTGGCGTTTTTAAAAAATATATTCTGTAAAATACCGAAGACGTAAATTTTTTAAAAATATTTTTGTACGATATTGAAGGTATGGATTTCTAAAAATTTGAAATCTCTACAAATTTATTTATATATTTAATTTTTAAGCATTTATTATTTATATGTATTTGAAAATAATTTTTAATATATTCTCTTCTAATTTCCAGGTGATTTTATATCAATCGTGTTTGCAAATTTCCTGCGTATCCGCCTCCGACCAGTATCACATACAAACCGATGAAGGACCCGAACGTTATTTCCGTTTCCAGACAAATAATGGACAATTTCGAAAAGAGAAACGATTGCAGGATGGCACAGTTATAGGTAAGAAGAACCTACCTTTTTCTAAACTCCATAATGGAAAGGACATTTAAAATACCTAAAATCGATGGGCAAATTTATTGGGAGACTATGCCATGGCAACCATAAGAAAAACAAAACTACAGACACTTAGTAGGAAAAATCGGCCTAGTATTGAAATGGAGGTACAGTTATATGGAGGATACCCTAAGGAGAATCCAAAGTATCAGATTAAAGTTGAATAAGTGCGAAAAATATCTATCCAAGCATGTTTTCTAGATATCAACTATATTAATATTCTCTCAAAATATCTTCTAAATCAGTTATATGTGTATAGCCTCCTACAGAATTCGGAAGATTTTGAGAATATCATGGTCGAATTAGAATGTCAAGTATTTAAATTTTGGGAACATGTTCGATTTTATTAAGCTTTCAGTTAAATTAAGGTTGAAGAATTCCTGAAAAAAATTGAATTAGGACCAACGCATCGTCCCATATCAGATGCTTTGAACCCCTAACTTTTTAATAATTGTTGTTTATAAACTGACCTCATGGACTACATTACTAGATATATTTTAAAATATAATTTTCCCTTTACCAGGTACCGAAGCGTGGATAGATGCTGCGGGATATTTACGTCTCAAAGACTATATAGCCGATAAGCAGGGCTATCGTATTCTAAAATCCAAAGTTACCTATGTGGGTCAAGGCACAGATATTCAGGTGAGATCAAATTCAAAACTAACAATTCGTGTAATAATAGTAACAAATCCTTCCCCAACTAACACCAAAAACCCTTTCCCAACTTTTCCAGGATGCCATCAAGAGTACGAAATCGGTTCCAGCACAATCGGGAGTTTTAGTTGATGGTAAAAATGGCATACATAGCAGTGGACGACCCAACAGTATTTCCCATGATGGTGGCAGTTCCAAACTATACTCACCCCCGGTGGCAGTGACACCAGCCCCCACATTGGCAACTATCACCACAACAGAGAAACCAATTTTAGGTTATTTATCTCCGGCGGAGGCTGGCAAGCTCGAAAAGACACCCTATTTGGGATTCGATCATTATCCCAATGAGGTGCCAGCAGATGCAGGTTCTAAACGCCGATATCCAACGAGAGACAGTTATGAAGAATTAAATGAACGACCGGGACTTGTAGTGCCCTCCATTGAAATGGCACCACCGCTGGAAACAAGACGTAGACGTCCCATACGACCTATTGCCATTGCACCCGTTAATCATGCCCCCATTTCTGCAAATGATTTAGGTAAAAATACGGGTTATCATTATTCCACCCCTGCACCATTTGCCACAGCAGCTGCACCAAAAGCGGGTTACTATTATGGTCCAGCACAAACACAATCTGCCCCCACACAACCTCCACAATCTTTGCCCTATGATGTCAATGCTTTGGAAGGTTTATTGCCCCCCTTGCCACCACTCTATCAACGACAAAGGGTACCTCTGAGTCCACATGGTTATGGTACACGTCTTGTTGCTCCGGAATATAATGATGTCACAGTGACGCGTAATGGTTATCGTTATGTCCTCCCACATCAATATCACGAAGAGGAACAACTGAGTGATAGTAAAAAAGCTGGTAGTTTTGGCTATGTCGATCCATTCGGTATTCGGCGAGTGGTCTACTATAATGCCTCACCGCAAAAGGGTTTCATTCATCGAAATCATAATCAATATGTTGGTTTGGGTGCTACACCGTACGATGAACCACAACCACAGTCACAAAGTGGTGATGATGTGTAAGCAGAGGGGAAGAGAGAGAGTATTATTTTTATTTGAGAATGTTCTTTTAGGATTTCTTTATTTTTCGCAAAAGCCGAACTTCATCTGATTCTATAAAAATACGAAAAAAGCTATCAGTCATAAAATTTCGGATATCCTTGAGTAGCTAAATGTACTAACTGTCATAGATGTGCTAAGGTTAGATGACTTGGCTCTCAAGGATACTAAGACACACACACAATATACTGCCTATTCTATAAGTAGCTAATATTGCTTGCACTAACCTAAGTCTAATTGTTGGCTATTGAGGGCAAATTGAGGTCACACAAATGACTTAGATTTTCTAATGGATTTTATCTCCAGATTTAAAAAATATTGAGCTATATGATCATGAAATCTTAAGGGATAATGATATAATATATTCCATATAGGGTCACGTTCTGTCGCAGGTCCTAAAGATGTATCTGTCCACTTGCTGAAGATAAGATATATTTTTAATCTAGGAAGTCAATAGCCTTTCTCAATTTGCTCAAAAAATAAAAAAAATCATAAATACTTAATAATTTATTTTCACACACACACACCCACACATTAACACCGAAATATTAACCAAAGATGAAGTTAAGTGCCAATTTAAGGAATCTTCCAATTAGCACCATCTCTCAGTTTTTCATCTAACAAAGATTCAAAAAATTCACACCACAATCACCTCACAGATCTGTGCTTTAAATATCTATTTTAAAACTTGAAAGAAAAAAAACGATTTCTAAGCGATATTCTAACTGTGTTATTTTAAAAAATAAATAAAACAAATATTCATATGTATTTAATTAAATTAATCATTTAAATTAAAATTTTATTTAAATAATAGAAAAATTCGAAGAAATCTAATTTTTGAAAGGTATTTTAAAAATGGATTATTAATAAAAAATATTTTAGAGTTATCAAGAAAAATATGTCGATTTTTGATACACGCGCATCAAAACTTCAGGAGTATTTATAAAACGTGTATAATTTTTATGTCCCATTGCCGATTCTCCCAGGCCTTAATATTATAATTTTTTCAATTTCGAATTTTTCTAATTATTTAAATTAAATTTTAATTATTTTTCTTTAAAACAATATTCATGTATTAATCTTGCCATATTAACATTACATAATGTATTCGATGTTCATGCCCAAAATTTGTAATTTAACATTTTTATATTTAATCAAATAATAATTTAATTTAAATTAATAATAATAATTATATTTAAATTTTACGCATACATAACTAGCTGTTTACTCACACATTTGAAAACAAAAAATACGTAGATGACATTTTGTAGTTTAGAAAACAATTAAAAAATACATAATTTTAGTTTAAGACTATAAACGAAAACCTCTTTATTAATAATAATTTATATAAATAATTAAATTACACATAAATAAAAAAACCTATGTCTGTATGTATTTCCTCATCACTGCTACGATTATACAATTAGTCTATTAAAAAAACTAGGAAACTAAACCACCAACGACCAAACCAATTTTCAAAAAAAAAGTATTCCCACCACGACAGCCCCACTGCCAATTTGACACAGGCCATATGGTTTTTGGTCATGTTGCCCCAAAAATGGAAATTCTTGTGTATTGAATACCTGTTTCGTGCCGTGTATAACAAAACACTAATTCAGTACAAATAATAATTTCCAAAAGTTTTGCAATTTTTTTGCCAATTCATTGTAATGGTCAAAATACTTTTTTTTTAATTTGGTTTGTTAATTTTTTTTGTTTCGCCCTCTCTTCCTCCATCACACTGCTATGAATAATAAATAATTTTGTGTATATTATTTAATTAAATTTAAGAAAAAATGTAAATAAAAAAATGAAAATATTTTAAATTACAAAAAATGTTTTTTTTTTATGAAAATTAGGGCAGCAATAATAATTTTAATGATCTTCAGCAAGAGTATACAAAAGGCTTGGTTTAAAGATATTTATTCAAGGATCTATTGGAAGGCAGGATTTAAAAAAAATAGGGGTCTATATGAGGCGCACATTTGTGAAAAATATGTTTCAAGGTCCAAGGTCTCAAGTGCGGATTTTTTTAAAACAATGTTCTCAAGCAACTATAAAAATCGATATAGGTCCCATATATATTTTCGTCCGATTTAAGGTAAATGGTGTACCAAAGCCCCTATATATCTTTCGATTTGAACGAAATTTGGCATAACGTACTGAATTGCATCTTGAATGATGTCTGCTAAGTTTCGTGAAAATCGGTTCCGTTTTAGATATAGCTCCCATATATATTTTCGTCCGATTTTAGCTAAAGGGTGCACCAATGCCCCTGAAAATCATTTGATTTTCAAAATATTTAGGTATAGCATACTGAATTAAATCTAGAATGACGTGTGCTAAGTTTCGTGAAAATCGGCTCAGATTTAGATATAGCTCCCGTATATATTTTCGTCCGATTTAAGGTAAATGGTGAACCAAAGTCCATATATATATCTTTCGCTTTGCACAAAATTTGGCATAGCGTAATGAATTAGGCCTAGAATGATGTGTGTCAAGTTTCCTGGAAATCGGTTCAGATTTGGATATAGCTCCCATATATATTTTCATCCGATTTAAGGTAAATTGTGTACCAAAGTCTCTTTATAAACTTCGAGGTAAATAGTGCACCAAAGTCCCTTTATATGTTTCGATTTGCAAAAAAATTGGCTTAGCGTACTATGTTGAGTCTAGAATGATTAGTGGTGCGTTTCGGGAAAATCGGCTTTGATTTCGACATATCTCCCATATATATTTTCGCCCGATTTTATGTAAATGGTGCACCAAGGTCCATATATATATCCTTCGCTTTGCACAAAATTTGGCATAGCGTACTGAATTAAGTCTAGAAAGATGTGTGTTAATTTTCGTGAAAATCGGTTCAGATTTAGATATAGCTCCCACATATAGATTATATTTTTAACAACGCGGCGTACCGAATAGCGTGTATCAATTTTGCTATAATATTTTCCATAAATTTTCCCCATGTTACGCAGACGGTTCTAAATCAGCTCGAATGAAAATAAAGTTAGGATAGGTTGGATAAAGAGGGAACGGTTTTATACTTGCAGTGGACTTTTTAATACTTATTCTCAAAGTTCTATAAAAGGCGTGATTTTTTAAATTATTCTAAAAAGGTTCTAAAAAAGCATGGATTTGTTTTAATATATATTCTCTGGGGCCTATAAAAGATACCCACACAATTCAACTTACCTTAAAAGACGTCTAGGCAACTCTAGGATATACTCAATTTCATTTCAAGTGAGAGAATGAGAGATTTAATTGTGGCAGAGAAATTAAACGGCGACGACGTTGTCTCTTTTCGCGACTGAGCAGAACGGCACGACAAAACGCTACAAACAGCGAAAATGATCAACTTATTTGAAAATTATGACATATTCGATTTCTTTTCACAACATTTCAAAATTTTAAAATATATTTTACAATGGATAAATGCAAAAACAAAACACACATTCACATCGATAAACACTTTTTGTTGACAAACGAGAAGAACACAGCGACGATTGACGTCGACTGCGAAGAAAAAAGAATAACAAAACACGACACAATCAAACAAAACACATCACTGAAGTGGACGAAGGTAATTTGATAATTTGTAACAGAATTTGTAGTTTCAACCGCACTTTTTAACAAAAAACGACTTCGTACAATCGAATTAAACAATTGATTAATATTTTAAATGTAAACAATTACCGAAAATCCCGAAACGAAGAACTCGCGACACGCGCTACCGACTTCACAACCTGCCACAACAAAGAAAACAAAACAAACTAATGGCTGTCAAATTAAAGGGTTGCCAATATGATTTTTATACCCTTCACCACACTGTGGTACAGGGTATTATGTCTTTGTGCATATGTTTGTAACAGGCAAAAGGAAACGAGATAGACCCATGGTTTCTTTTGAGAATATGCATAGAATCACTTTCTGAGTCGATTTATGCATGTCCGTCTGTCCGTCCGTCTGTCCATGTATTTTTGTGAACAAAGAACAGGTCGCATTTATGATACGATTTGGATGAAATTTGGCATAGGTCACTTATTTGGCCCAAGGACAAGGAAAGTGGGAAAAATCGGTTCAGATTAAGATATAGCTCCCATATATATTTTCGTCCGATTTAATGTAAATGGTGCACCAAAGTCCCTTAATATCTTTCGATTTGCACAAAATTTGGCACAGCGTAATGAATGAGGCTTAGAATGATGTGTGTTAAGTTTCCTGAAAATCGGTTCAGATTTAGGTATACCTCCCATATATATTTTCTTCCAATTTAATGTAAATGGAGTACAAAAGACCCTATATATCTTTCGATTTGCACGAAATTTGGCACAGCGTAATGAATTACGTCTAGAATGATGTGTGTTAAGTTTCCTGAAAATTAGTTCAGATTTAGATATAGCCCCATATATATGGAATTGTTTTCTCAATGGTGGGACTATTTCCTCAATGGTCTATTAGAGGCGTGGATTTTTTTCAAATATATTGTTCGATTGAAAATCATACATGTGTTTCATAAGAGCACAGCAGACAGCACTTGCCACTAAAAAATCGGAATTTTCAGATGTTCACACCTACGTTAAAAAAGACATTAGTGTATTTATGTGAAATTGCCGGCATTTCTAATCTCTGGAGAGTGCATTTTCCATATCACACAAACACACACTCACACACTGTGTCATACCTAAATTATAGATAAGATATGAGGTATTATCATTATATTTGGACTCTGGGTTGGTTGGGAGAAAGAATACCGCAACCGGCTTAGTCATAAACAAAATGAATTTCAAAGCGATAACATTGTCAATATTTTTACTAATTGTGGCGCAACAATGCCAGGCAAAAAACATACTTTGCCTAATGGGAATTGGTAGCCCGACAGCGGATAAATGGTGAGTTAAAAACAAAAGTTCGTATACAGGAAAATAATTCAAAAATATATATTCTTAGGAATTTTGCTCTGTTCAAAGAACTGGAAAATCGTAATCATCGCCTAACAATTGTCACACCAAATACAGCCACCTCACTTGAGGATGATTTTCAAAATGCCGAATTTATTCACTTGGAAAAAACTCGACAATTCCTAAGGCAACGTTACGAAGCACTGAGCCAACAAGAGCTGTTGCAACAATCCACCTGGAAGTTTATCATCCATTGGTATGACAGACAAATGGCCACATGTCGTGCTAATCTGGAATCAATTGGATTTTCAGAGGCCTTACACTTGGCTGTCAAAGAGAAACGCCAGTACGATATGATTATTTACGATGTCACATATGGAGCAGGTTGTTTGTTGCATTTGGCCTATTTGTTTGGCAGCACGCCAATAATTGGCCTTAACAGTGGCCACTTGAATCAACAAAATACCTGGTTGTTGCAGTCACCCGACACCGCTGAGCTACTGAATCCGTCTTTGGATCCATATGTTTTGAGTGATTTTGGACGGGATATGAGCTATTGGAGGAGATGGCATAATACAGCGTTGTATGCTTTCGATTATTTGTAAGTATTGTGAGAAGAGTTTTTTAAGACTTACTTACTAAGAGGAAGAGAAGAGAAAGACATACTTACAAAAGGCGTGGGTTTTAAAACTATGTGTTCAAAGGTCTACACGAAAAGTGGATTTTTTAAACATATTTTTTGAAGGGTTATATGAGTCGTGGATTTTTTAAAAATATTTTTTCAGGGGTCTATAAAAGCGTGGAATTTTAAAAATATTTTTCAAGGGTCTGCAAAAGGCGTGGATTTAAAAAAATATTTTAAAGGGTCTATAAAAGGCGACGATATAAAAAATGTTTCAAAGGGTCTATAAAAGGCGTGGATTAAAAAAATGTTTTAAAGGGTCTATAAAAGGACTGGATTAAAAAAATATTTTAAAGGGTCTATAAAAGGCGTGGATTTAAAAAATGTTATAAAGGGTCTATAAAAAGCGTGGATTTAAAAAAAATGTTTTAAAGGGTCTATAAAAGGCGTGGATGGAAAATTTTTAAACATATGAAAGCGTGGGTTTTTAAAAAATATTTTTTCAAGGGTCTATACGGTTTCTGTCAAAATATTTTCCAAGGTCCTAATTTTTTTAAACCTTTCTTTTTCAGCTATCGCAAATTATTAGTCAAACCTGTCATAGAGGGTATTTGGTCCAAAAATATGCAATCGAAAAGTATTATCACACCCAAGAAGTTTAATGATCTCCTGCCACGTTTCAAAGTGATTTTGGCCAATTATCATCCATCTCTGCACAGCCTGCAAACATTGCCCAATCACGTTGTTCCAGTGCCGGGTTTACATATCCAAGAAAATATGGAGGCCAACGAAGAAGTACTGAAGTTTATTGAGTCCTTCGAAAGGGAAATTATTTTAATTGATATGGAAAAAAATATCCTCGGTTCGGATAATACCAAAATGTTATTGAACACCATTCGACAATTTAGCGATTATGGATTTATTTGGATTAATGCCAAGGGCACTTTGCTGGGGAAGAATAGCATTAAAAACCTGTTGCAATTAAATAATGTGGAGGCGGGAGAAATTTTAGGTGAGTAAATTATAAATTATATGGAAATTTGAAATTAAAAATTAATTTTTCCGATTACAGGTCAAAACGAAGTCAAATGTTCCATTATTGAAGCAGAGAGTTTAAGTGCACAAGAGTCCTTATATCATGGAGTCCCACCAATAACTATTACCAGCAAACCAGAGCAGAGATATGTATGTACAAGACAAGGATTCCAAAACTGATTTTGAAAAAAAAAACGAAACGAATTTTATACAAATTTAATTTTTTTCTAGGTTGCACAACGTCTCTTGGACCGAAACCTAGGCCTCAATTTGGAGCTCTTCAAGTTCGATAAAACCCAATTACACGATGCCCTTCAAACATGTTTGAATGACAAAAAGTTACACAAAAATGTCCAACAATTATCCACAACATTGAAGAAAAAACAAAATCCCTCCCTGGAGACAGCCGTTTGGTGGGTGGAACACATCTGCGATAATCCTCAAGCCCAAGATCACTTACTGGCTCAGGATGCAAATCACAGACTTGGTTTATTGGCTTCACGTGGCCTTGATATCCTCTTGGTGGTGGAAATTTTCCTCGTCCTTTGTGCCATTAACACCATCTACATTCTGCGACAAACATTTTTGAATTTCAAAAAGGCTGCAAAGAAGAGTAAATCGGATGGAAAGAAAATGCTCAATGAGAAGAAGAAGAAATTAGAAGTGACCGACAAGAAGGTGAAGAAGACGAAAGCCAAAACATCATAGAGACTGAAATAATAATTTAATTACAATTTTTAGTAACAATTATATTAAAATAAAGATGCTAATTGTATTTGAAATAAAAATTAATAATAATATTGTTTGGAAAATAATATGGAAAAATAAGATCCCCTTAGGATTAAAAAAAAATCTTAGGAGCGGGAATTTTTGAAAAATATATTTTCAGGGATCTATATGGAGGTATGGACTTTTTAAAATTATTTCCTCTATGGTCTGTAAGTTGCGTGGATTTTCTAAATATATTTCTTCAATTGTCTATACGAGGCGTGGCTATTTAAAAAATATTACCTCAAGGCCTGAATTTTTATACCCTTCACTACACTGCGGTACAGGGCAATATGTCTTTGTGCATATGTTTGTAACAGGCAAAAGGAAACGAGATAGACACATGGTTCCTTTTGAGAATATGTATAGAATCACGTTCTAAGTCGATTTATGCATGTCAGTCCGTCCGTTAGTTGGTGTTAAATTGTAAACAAAGTACAGGTCGGATTTATAATCCGATTTGGATGAAATTTGGTACAGCTCATTTGTTTTGCCCCAGGACGAACCCTGTTGAAATTGGGGAAAATCGGTTCAGATTTATATATAGCTCCTACATATATTTTCGTCCGATTTAAGGTAAATGATGCACCAAAGTCCATATATATCTTTCGATTTGCACGAAATTTGGCATAGCGTACTGAATTGAGTCTAGAATGATGTGTGCAAAGTTTCGTGAAAATCGGTCCAGATTTAGATATAGCTCCCACATATATTTTCGTCCGATTTAAGGTAAATGGTGCACCAATGTCCCTATATATCATTCGATCATAGCGCAGAATGATGTGCGATAAGCTTCCTGAAAATCGTTCCATATATATATATATATATATCATATATTTCGTCCGTGAAAATCGGTTCAATGAAATGAAATTTAGCATAGGTTCCAGAAAGTCATAATGATCACATAATCAAGTTCGTTCAACTTCATGCCAATGTTCTTTGGAAAGGCGGAGTCTGTTAGGAGACTTATGTAGAATATACCCAAAGTGGTGAAGGGTATTATATAGTCGCCCCAGTCCGATTTTACTACTTTCCTTACTGGTTTTAAATGTGTTCTTAAAGTGTCTATAAAAGGCGTGGCTTTTTTAAAATGTGTTCTCAAGGACCTATAAGAGACGTGGGTTTTTTTAAAAAATATTTTCTCAAGGGTCTGTATGAGGTGTGGATTTTTTTCAAAATATTTTCTTATGGGTCTCATGGGATTATATGGAGCGTAGATTTTTTTTTTAATTTTTCTCAAGGGTCTATAAGAGGCGTGGATTTTTATAAACAAAATTTCTCAAGGGTCTATATGGAGCGTGGATTCTTTTAAAAATGTTTTTCAAGGATCTATAATTTATTTTTTATTTTTTTTTTTCAAGGATCTATAAGAGGCCTATTTTTTAATATTTTCTTAAGGGTCTATATGAACACATTTTCTCAAAGATCTACAGGAGGCTTAGATTTTTTTCAATATTTTCTCCAGGGTCTATGAGAAGCGTATATTTTTCTTTAACTGGCTTGGATTTTTAAAAATCTTTTCTCAAGGGTATGTAATTGGTCTGGATTTTATATAAATGTTTTATCAAATGTCTATAATGACCTTGCATTTTTAAACATATTTTATCAAGGGTCTATTTCAATAATAGGCGTCGATTTTTCAAAATGGCAAGTCAAGTCTATAAGCCAAGTGTCAGAGTAAAAATGTGTTTTCCAGGCGGGGATTTTTTTCAATATTTTCTCAAGACCAATTAATAAACAAGGATTTTTACAAATATTTTCTATAGTGTCTAGAAGAGGCTGGATTTTTAAAAATATTTTCTCAAGATTCTTTATTAGACCTGAAATAATTTTTCAAAAGTCCTTTGAAAAATATTCAACGCTTTAAAAAATAAAAATTTATGAAGTTAACGGTTTTTTATAAAAAGTTTTATAAAATATTGAAATCAAAAACCTGGTTTAACAGCTCACAAAAAGGATAGTCGTTCCAGTTGAATCGACCACTACAAAGAGCTTTTCCCAAAGCTTCATCACAAAATTCCACCAAACCTGGCATGAAAGCTTTCAAAAAGTATTTACCTTTTAATCTATTCCTCAACTAAAAACCAGGTTTAAAAGCTTCACCACAAAAAGCATTAATTTTGGATTTATTTCGTATTTGTTTTGATCAGCAATTTCGCTGACGACGTAAACAACAACGACAACCGACGGACAGATAGTAGCTGCTAAGTGAATATTATTTTTCGGCATTGGCTCTGCGGGGTATTGTTATCATTGCAGCAGCAGCAGCTCTACCAACCATCCACATCTACCTACCTGTGCCTGGTGTCAATCAAGATTTGTTGTTAGTCTCGCAAAAACATTTCGAAGCAGCAAAACAAACGAACGAAAAAAGCGGATCAATTGACTTTGTTTACCTTAGTGCACACGCTAAATAAAAAACAAAACCAAAAAACAACCGATTTGATTGGAAAGCGGGCTAGGGACGGGACAAAAAAATTAACAGCAAAAATTAGATCGCTTTTAAAATGCGGTGTTTTCTTTTAAAGCCTCGACAACGTCTGTGTCGGCAAGTGAAAAGGGGTTGTTGTACAAACAACTCACAACCAACGATTCCTAATTCACAGAGACCACAATTTTCCAAACCCTATGCGGATATTCCCGGTCCTCGCGGCATCTTTGGTTTGGGAAATCTCTATAAATATTTGCCAATTGTGGGCAAATACACCTGGTTGGAACTGCACAAAGCTGGCTATGATAAATATCGTGAATATGGTCCCATTGTCCGGGAGACCATGGTACCGGGTCAGGATATTATTTGGCTTTATGATCCCCGGGATATAGCAACGCTTTTAAATTGTAAAGATTATCCGCTGCGCAGAAGTCATTTAGCGCTGGCCAAATATCGTACAGATCGTCCACATATTTATCGTTCCGCCGGTTTATTGCCAACGTAAGTGAATTTCGATTCAAATCGATGAGTGGAAAATTCTGACAAGAAAAAATTACTGAGCCATAAATTTTGATTTGTAAATTGATTATGATTGTATTAATTTGATTGGGTAAATTGATTTGTTTTTATTTAAAAAAAAATATTTAAACATAAGTAGTCCTCCGAAAAAATCCACGTGTAAGGCTTAGGTGATCTTTACAGACATTTGAGAAAATCTTTGGCTTAACTCTAGTTTAGTAAAAACGATCAGATTTTTCTGAACATTTTTCCAGAGGTAGGTATTTTTACCATAATTATGGGGATATTTTTTTCTTGGTGGACGTACCCGGTTATTTGACCAGAAGTTCGGTTACGGGTACCCGGTAATATCCGGTTCTACGGATCCGGTTAGTATAATATGGGTATCATTTTAAAGGTTATAAAAATTCTTTTCCATTGAGTGGTAATATGGTGATTGAGTTGTCTCAAACCGTTTTGGAGATACAGTCAAAAAACTGGGTTTGGGTCCCCGATTTTTTTGAAAAACTTCCTAAAAGTCGAACTTGGGTCCATTATAGTCCTTCCCAACCCCTCATATGTTTTGATCCAAAACGGATACAGCCACATATATCACCATTTTGGAAAGGGCAAATTGTGGTCTATCATTTAAGTCAGGATTGGACCCAAGTTCTCTTAAGAACCTAATTTTCAAATATTGGAAAAATATTTTTTCAAAATCCACGATTCTCATAGACCCTCCGGAAAATATTTTTTTTTAAATCCACGCCTCTTATAGATACCTAAAAAAATAATTTTTTAAAAATCCACACTAAACAATCCATGGTTGTTTAAAAAAATAGAGGTCATTGAAAACATTTTATTTTAAAATCTATACCTATTTTTTCCAGAAATGGTTCGGAATGGTGGCGTCTACGATCCGAGTTACAAAAAGAAATCAGTGTTCCGAAAAATGTACGCAGCTTTTTATTAGAAATTGATGAGGTCACCAAAGAGTTTTTGGACTATTTACCCAAATCGGAAGATGTTGATGTGCTACCCAAGCTGGCGAGACTAAATTTGGAATGTAAGTAAATCGATAATATTCTACAACTATTAAATTCATGACCCACCCTCTCTAGTAACCTGCCTGGTAACATTTGGAGAACGTCTAAATTCATTTGCCCCGGAAGAACAAGCGAAAAATTCCCGCTCCTCAAAACTCATGTGGGCTGCAGAGACAACAAACAGCAATATTTTACCCACCGATCAGGGTCTAGGATTATGGCGTCATTATGAAAGCGGGCCGTATAAAAAATTACGAAAAGCCCAAGAGTACATGGAAAGTGTGGCCGTCGATTTGGTCTCCCAAAAATTAGCATTTTTTAAAGATACTTCGGATGAAGTCACGGAGAGTCCCTGCTCACTGAGTCGTACGAATTTGGTTGAACAATATTTAAAAAATCCCAATTTAGATTTAAATGATGTTGTTGGTATGGCTGCAGATTTGTTGCTGGCTGGTGTGGATACCACCTCGTATACCACGGCATTTGCTCTATATCACATTTCTCGACACCCAGAGGTACAACAACGTTTACACGAAGAAAGTTGTAAGGTGTTGCCGGAGAAGTTATCACCTCTTCTAGCGGAATCTTTAAATTCGGGTATACCATTTACCAGAGCAACGCTGAAAGAGGTATTTCGCCTGAATCCCATTTCAGTGGGTGTGGGACGTATACTTACCAAGGATATGATATTTAGTGGTTATTTGGTACCCAAAGAGGTAGGTATTGAAGATTTCTTTTATTACATTTTTTGTGATTTATTATTTTTTTTATTTTAGACTGTGGTTGTTACCCAAAATATGGTGGCCTGTCGTTTGAAGGATAATTTTGAGGAACCCTTATTATTCAATCCTGATCGCTGGCTTGGTCAATCGAAAAGTTCCATTAATCCCTATTTGGTCTTACCCTTTGGCCATGGCATGAGATCCTGTATTGCTCGCCGATTGGCGGAACAAAATATTTTGACTCTGTTACTGAGGGTAAGAAGGAAAAATATAAATTGTATTTAAAATATATCGTAGGATATTTTAGCATTCAGGGCGAGTATAGGCATCCTTTCAACATAAATTATCGTTGTTTAAATTTCCGAAAATAAGGGCCTCCGAAAAGAGTGTTATTAAGATATTTCCCAATTTGCAATTTTATAGTCTTTCAGCAGTAATTAGTCCTCTGCTTTGTTGCGTATTTGAAATGTGAGGATCGATGTTCTGCTCTTCGAACAACATCTGCATTTTCTCCAATTTTAAAAATGGAGGTGGGAACCATACCGAGGTCAGCGTGGGAACATGTACAGCTGGTAGGTTGCTTCCCGCAGTGACCAAGGCCCCCATTATATAGTACACCTATAGGACCATCCTATGAAAATGATATTTATATTAGATGCAGGTCAAAAAGCAATTAATGACTCACTGATATATCCGTCTGGATCTGCCTTGGCGATCTCAAAACATTTTGGTGTTATCTTGGAAGGTTCCTGCAAAGACTGTCACTTGGACTGAATTTCGTCCTCCCTGAGGATACATACTAGGTAGAAGCTTGAACTGTTTGCAGTATGATGGTGTTCCTCCATCAATCTAATCGACCGAAGGTTTTTGAACAGGATTTACTTATTTTCGGAACAGATCCAGATCTCTGTCTTCTAACTAGTTTTTGTTTCAGTACAGTGGGCATCCTTCGTCACCATTTTGGGGAGAAGCTTGTCAAGTCCTCTAGCAACCATACTTGACGTGAGAAATCTTTCGATTACTACTTCCCTTTGCGAGTTCAGTTGTCTTCGTACTTCCTTATGACCTTTCCGAATGAATTCCTTATTATTGACCCTGAACTAGGGTATTGGTCGGTGTGTCTCTGGCAGTATCAGATTGCACTTCGAAGTGCCTTCTTATTCAGAGCCACTTTGAACTTTTTGGTGCTGGAGTCGGAAGTGAGGTTTCCAAAGTGTCTTTGAGTTAGCCTCAGAATTACAGGTCATATCCACGCAGGGGAGGCTTTCACCTTTTAAAAATTTTAGGCATCCTTCTGTACCATATCTAACGGCCTCTGCTGAATAGATGGTGAGTCATTGATAAGTGTGATATCAACGTCGATTTCCTCGTCCGTCACACTAATCGTTGATCAAGTCCGAATTTAAAATATGTCTGCCCAACCCGTTTTCAGAAATGGTGTTCAAAATTTTGAGGATTTCCATTTTGAAAAATTCAAAATAGATCAAGTCCGAAAATTAAGCCTCTCCTACCCAATGCTGCACTGAACTCAATAATGAAATTGAAGAATTGGAATCTGTATATCTATCAATAAAGGTCCAAAACAGCAAAGCAGTTAAGTCCACACGTTCTTAGTCTAATCATAGTCTACGATGTTGGGAAATGCCCAAGAACCCCTAGCCAAGATAAATGTCATAGATAAATGGTCTATTTAGGATACCTGTTAGGTGTTGAACGCGTTATTTGCCAACAACATTTCACTTCTGGAAGGCAATGAATGCCTGGAAACCGCACATCATATTTTGAGTTCTCATTGGTTCTCATATATATAGAAATATTGGTCCAAATTAAAGTCTTGCCCCTTATAACGGCACCTCTTAAATTTACTCCTTGAGTAAAAAGGCCATCTACGAAAAATTATCAATATTAGGACAAGATTCCGCAAATTGGTTCTAATTTTCTTTTCTGGTGTAACCCTCATATAGATATTTTCTCTGCCTTTGCCAAATGCTGCACTGAACTCAATAAAGAAATTGAAGAATTGCGTCACAATTTCGAATCTAATATAATGTGCAGATATGACATAACATATGCCCAAAACAGCAAAGTAGTTAAGTCCATATTTTGGTATAATGTCCATATTAGAAATAATTTGTTCTAAGTAAGTTTGTCGAAGGGGTTCTAGCCTCGACAAACACTGTTTCCTTTTTTATATGGTTGTGACACATTTACGTAAAGTCCGCATTTCTTAGTTCTCAATATATCAAATGGTTAATATGGGGACCTTCGGCAAACTGACGATTGCCCAATGAGGTATTTTTTCTGATCTTGATTTCGATGTCAACCGTTGAGACTATCTATTGAATGGGTAGATTCAAAAACAGATTATCCAAAATTTAGACCTCATATATTTTCGCCATACCTTTTGACGAATGTTCGTTCAAAAGTTATAAGCTTTGTAAGCTGGCTTTAAAAACTGGCCAATAGATGGCGCTGACGACACGATCTTAAAATATATATACACCTCATTTCTTTTTGCAAGTTATGGCATATCCTATTAAGCTAAATTTTGGGGACTACCATTTTTAGCGCCCAATTCAATCAGTGACTTAATCCCTTTTTGTTTGCAGTTAATCCGTAACTATGAAATTGAATGGAAAGGTGACGATGATGAGGAAATGGATGTCATTACTCTGCTGATCAATAAGCCCAGCAAACCGGTGACTATACAGCTACACGAAAGACCACTGTGACGAGGCGATGAAATAAAAACGGAAACGATGCCGTTTCAAAATTGGAATTGCAAATCTGCAATTCAATTCGCTCGGCCCCCTCGAAATAAAAAAACCAAAGACATTTTTGGTGTAATGTATAGATGGCGTTTGGTTCTTTATTTTGTTGTTGTTTAATGTATGTATGTAAAAATATGTGTGTATGTGTTTTATTTTAAATGTATTGACAAAGACAACAAAAAACAAAAACTATTTAAAATTAAAGATAGAAATCTTAAGAAGAAGAAAAAAACGAATATTTCAAAATGCAGAATTGTAATGTGATGTATGTATTTATTTTTTTGTGTAGATGTGTATGACAATTTTTTTAAAGACTTAGAATAAAATCAAAGACGAATGTAAATGATTTTTTGTTCAATTATTTAATAATATGTACATATTCAAATAAGGCAACTATAAAAATGTATTTTGTGTATTCAATTCAAATTGTTTAATGTTTTTTTTTAATAAAATATACGACGAAGTACAAATTCATTTTGTTATGGAATTAATTTACAATGTGGTTTCATTTTTTTTTAATTTTTTGGTCTTAAGAAAAATGTTGTTTAGAAAAAAATGAGAAAAAATACTCTTCTAGAAGGCCATGTTGTGGAATACATTTTGTTGTTGTTATTGGTTGTTAATTGTTTTTCTTTTTTTGAAAAATACATTCAAATATTCATCTAACGCTATTAAATGTAGTCTTATTCAATTTTAGGCTAAAAGGGTCATGGGAGTGGGGTGGTTTTTTGGGGAGAGGGTGAAATTAGTACCATTCATATATTTAAAAATATACTATATATTTAATATTATTGTAATGTTATGTATAATATTGTTTACAATATATTAATATATTTATTAAATATTTTTTTATATATTTTTTTAATAATCTCATTAATTTTATTTTTGTATATATGTGTATATATATTTGTTTTACTAATTTCAGTGTCATCCATTTAACATACAAACATTGGTTTACTTAACATTCAATTCTTTTTATTTTCTTAATATTTTTTTCACACTTTTCTATTTAATTAATTGTTATAATGTTTTGTAGTTTTTTATATATATGTATATGTTTAATTTATTAATATGTATGTATGTTTTGTGTGTATATGTCAATGATATAAACTTCCATATATAAATTTAATATTATATATATGTATGTGTAGTATGTATATTCATATAATAATATGTATTCATGTATGTGTGTATAAATGCGATGTTATTAATGCCACATTAATTCTCCTATCTGAGTGCCCACTTGTGCATGGCACTAACATCGAATAACCACTACTATCTAAATTCAATACCACAACAGCGGATTGATCTGATATAACAACGACTCAGTTTTGGTCAACTGCTGCCATCGATAAATGCCATAAATAAATGGAATCTTTAGGATACGTGTTAGGTGTTCAACTGCTGAGAATTCAACCGAATTTTAGCTCTACGTTATTTCACTTCCGGAAGGCAATGAATGTCTGGAAACCACACACCATATTTTCAGTTCTCATATATTTAGCAATATTGGTCCAAATTAAGTCTAGTACCTTATAACGGTACATATTAAATTTCGGCATTTTGTGGGGAAGATTGGGCACATTTTTAAATCAATTTGACTGTAATATAATATTTTGAATTTTCATAAGGTAAAAAATCCATCTACCAAAAAATATCAATATTCGACATCCCCCTTATTTGGGGACGTTTTTAAACAGAATTGGTTCCAATTTTATTTTCTGGTGTAACCCTCATATAAATGTTCAGCCCCTTTATAGATATTTTGTCTGCATCTGCCAAATGCTGCACTGAACTCAATAAAGAAATTGAAGAATTGGGTCACAATTTCGAATGTAATAAAATGCGGATATATGTCATAATAAATGCCCAAAAAAGCAAAGTAGTTAAGTCCATATTTTGGTGTAATGTACATACTGGAAATAATTTATTCTAACTCTAATCATAGTCTACGAAGTTTGGACATGCCCAAGAACCCCTCGGCAAACACAGTTTTCTTTTTTTTTTTTTGTAAGTTTGACGATTGCCCAAAGTTGTTGTTTTTCTGATCTTTATGTCGATGTCAACCTTTGAGACTATCTATTAAATGGGTAGATCCAAAAACAGATCATCCAAAATTTAAAGCTCATATATTTTCGCCATGACTTTTGGCCTATTGCAGATATTGCAATGATGTGATATGAAAGGTATAATTTTATAGTTTCTGATGACAACAAACAAATCTATGAAAATCTATATAAAAAATCGATTGAAGATTTTCTTTAATTTCCCTCGGTTATGTTTTTATCATACAAATTATTTGCAGGTCATTGTAAAGTGAACTATTTCCGCTTTCATATGACACCAATTTCGTAAAGATGCGATTGTACGTTCAAAAGTTATACGCTTTGTAAGCTGGGCTTCAAAAAACTGACAAATAGATGGCGCTGACCACACGATCATAAAACATGCATACCTCATTTCTTTTTGCAATAACCTATTTCATACTGAAGATATTTCAATAAAATCGGTGTCATATGAAGTGTACAATTCTACATTTGTTGGAGATCTGAATTTGTGATTTGTCACCTCAGTACTTTCATCATGGCCATCACGCAGATTGTTGATACTAAGCAGTGGTGTAGTGGATATTCAGCCGTATAACAATTGAGGTTAGCTCATGCATACGTTCTTCGGCACATATGGATGTTAAAAGTGACTCTGCATCGTTATCCTAACAACCTTCACAGGTGTCACGTAAAGGATTCACATCTGCTTCACCACCCCAACCGGCGGGGAATAGAGGTCAGGCCTTATGGCTCACCATCAACGATTGCATTTGATATAATGACTGGTGTGAACCCACCTCCAACTCTTAGAAGGTAGGGTATTTTAACTCGGAGGATACAAATCCGAACAACATGTGGCCACCTTGAACAATACAAAAACTCAGGTATAAGCAACCATTTGTTTCCAGGAGATGTTTCACAGTCCCTCAAATTGAGAATACCCTCAACACATCCTAAACAATAAATTTGAGTGTACGTTTGGATAGCAACTGTGATTATGGGGAAGAAATCAGATGCTATAATGCGATATATATGTGTACATTCATATATGTGTGTATATGTTCGCTATATATGATTATGAGTATTTTTTTAATTATAATTTAAAATATATTAAAAATGAAATAAATTAAATATACAAAATACTTGTCACTACTACTAATCTACAAATGATTATGAACTTTTTTTTATTTTTATGTTAGTCACAGACATACATGGCTTGAAATGTGAATGCAGAAAGAATGAGAGAGAAAGAGAGCACTTGAAAGAGCATATTACGCTCTTCTCTGAAAAAAACCCACCTCAATAGTTCTGCTTCTACAATTCAAGAAGCAGAACCTCTTCATGCTAAAGTACATTGAGCAGCGATGAGTCCATCATTCGATCATCATACAAACTCAAGGTTTTCGATGCCCTGATTTTGCGCACCGATGGCGGTACATCACCTGGCGTTTTCACCCGTTGACTAGGATCACGTAAACGTTCGTTACTGCCGCGGGCATTGAATACCTCACGAAATACTTCAAGGCTACGCTGACGACGAAACTGCGGCTCTGAGGCGGAGTGATTCCGTAGAATAACGGCATCGTTGAGGGCCTTCAGTTCGGCCTCGTGCAAATTGCTATTGGAGCTGTTGAGGGATTTAACTAAATTCGAAGATTTGGAACGGGAAACGACGGCGGCATTGTGGGCAGGTGTTGACTTTCGTTTGTCGAGGCTTTTTAGACGATATTCGACATTATCGGGAGTGCAAGAGGGAGGAGGAGCTGAATCATCATTGGTATCCGGTTCCTCGGCAATGGTGGTAATGTGACTTGGTTGTTGTTGCTGAGGTGTCATCATCATAAAGCCATTCGTTTTATTCGCCGGACTTAAATCTAAGTTATTGGGTCTTTTATTGATGGCATAGCCATTCTGCGAAGGTTGGGTCTCCGCATTGTTTTTCGTACAATTAACTTTTTCCTTGTCGATAAAACTTATGACCACTGGCTTACTGATTGTGATTGTGACTGGGATGATGATGATTTTTCTCCACCAAATTGGATTTCTCATCGCCATTCAATTGCCGAAAAGCATCCAGCCGGGCAATGTCTGCCTTTCGAAATAGTTTCTTTTGTATTAAAGCTCGCACACCATGCCATCCCTTCAGTTTACGTTCGGTATTCTGTTGTTTGGGAAAACCTTGACCCAGATGTGCAGCATTACCATTTGAAAGGGGGTTCTGGTGCTCCTCATGTTCTAGGGAGGGGAATTTCTTGGCACTTCGCGCCTGTATTAATTCCTCTACCGACACATCATCATCCAGACAGGAGAAGCTATTCTCTTCCCCTGTGGCCGGTTGAAAACTATGTTTTTTGCTGCGCTGAATCAATTGTTGGGGATAGTTGAGGCTGGATGGTGCCAAATTTCGTTCCTGACAAGGATTCCGCCCCTGATATGGTTGTAATTGCTGTTGGGGTTGTATCAAATGATTCTTCTCCGTTGTCGAGGATCTCTCACAACTGTTCACCTCATTGTAGTAGGGTAGATTTTTCTTATTTGGTGGCGGATTCAGGACCGTATTTGTTTCCGCCATCATACTGTCCACATTTGTTGGAGATCTGGGTTTGTGATTTGTCACCTCCGTTGACGACTCACCGTGGCCATTACATAGATTATTGGTACTTAACAGTGGCGTGGTGGGCAGCAAATGGGTATTCAGACGCATACCAATAGAGGCTGCCTCATGCATACGCTCTTCGGCACACAGGGATGTTAGACGTGCCTCTGCATCATGATCCCAACAATCTTCACAGGTGTCTCGAATAAGTTTCACAGCTGGTCCACCACCCCAACCGGCGGGGAATAGAGGCCGGGCCTTATGTCTCACCACCAGCGACTGCATTTGATCGAATGAAGGATGTGAACCCACCTCCAACTCATAAGGGGCCTTGTAAGGTGGTGTGGTCTGCCCGGGGGGATAGAAATCGGAACAGCGTGTGGCCACCTCCCACAATACCAAACCCAAAGCATAGACATCCATTTGTTTCAAAGAGGTTTCACAGTCCCGTAAATTGACAGCACCCTCCAACAGCTCAGGGGCCATATATCTCAACGTACCCACTTCATTAATGCTCTTTGTCTCTGCCTCAGCAATTTCCCCTTTATATTCGTAGCGGGGTCCAAACACTTTTAAGGCGAAACCAAAATCGGCTATACAACAGGTGAGATCAGATTTCACCAAAATATTGCGGGTGTTCAAGTCACGATGGGCAATACAGGGTTTATGTTCCTCGCCGCGACGCAGTTCGGTGTGCAAATGTGACAGGCCACGGGTTATACTTTTCACCATGCCACAGAACACCTCGAAATTCATTGTATTCGGTATCAACCAATCTTGGAGGCAGCCCAAGGGAGCCAACGACAATACCAAATGATATTCCACCTTGCCCTCCAGGGTGTGGCGTTCATCATAACCTGGAAAAACAAAAATAAATTAAAAATCTACATAACTCTATTATTCCCCCTCTTCTTACCAAAATATGTCAATAGAGCCGGACAATCCATTAGCGGCAACGAATAAATATTCCTCTCATTCACAAAATATTGTTGATGAGCCTCGGGGAATATTTTCACCGCCACTTCCTGGTCATGCAGTAGTCCCTTCATCACGGTACCATATTTCCCCTTATCCAACATACAAATCAAATTTAAATTATCCACATTACGTAAATTTGAACTATAGCCGGGTCCGGATGGAGCCAAGGGAGCCTCTTCGGGTATGGGTTTCTCCCGAACACTCCGACAATAAATGAAACTGGATATAATGGAGATCACCATAATTATGGCCAACATTCCCAACCACACAGCCGATTTGGACCAATACAATTGCTCATGCATTTCCGGGGGATTATTGTCGGCATAATTGTTCTTGGAGAGCTAAGAAGAAAAAAAAACAAATTAATTTTTATTTGGCTTAATTTTGAAGAAAGGATTCTTCGATTTACCTCCAAGAATGAAGGTTCCACCACGGAAACATTTCGATTGCAGGCATTACCCGAACAGCAACAATAATATAAGGAGTTGTTTCTTAACGTGGGCGAAGAACTGACACATTCGGCATGATTGCAGGTACCATTGCCTTCGGTACTGTCCTTCCAGCAACCTGAAAATGGAAACCATAATTATTCAGAATAGAACAATGATTTCTTGCTGAACAGATAAAGAGTCTAAAGGCAGTAGATCGGGAGTTCTTCTCATAAAAAGTCAGAAGGTCACCTCAGAGAAGAAATTCATAGTTCCATAAAAAAAAATACCAGGTGGACTTCTCAGAGAAGACCAATGGGACTGCTTAACGAAGACCTATAGGTCCCCTTATACAAATTCAGGAGGACTTTTTACCGATTACTAAGATGGTTTCCTTAGAAGGTCTTCTAAAAAACATCTTTTGAGAGAAGATCTTATAGACACGATAATGCCTTCTTATAAAAAGATCAGAATGTCTAGAAGATGAAGAGATATTTTTGAAGCAGGTCAGAAGTTCTAGACAAAAGATATACACATACAATATAGAATAAAGTAGAAAACCAAGATGTCCTGTAAAGGAACTCACCTGGGTCTTATAGAAGACCAGAAGGACTTCTCGTAGAAGATCATAAAGTTCTCTTAAAAAGATCTGAAAGTCTTCCAAACTCAGAGACGTCTTCCCATAGAAAGCTGGAGTATTTTCTTATTGAAACTAGGAAGACCAGGATGTTCCTAAAAAACCTCTGATATTTTCTTGTAGAAGCCCAGTAAGTATTTTTATAAAACTTCAAGGACAAAGAGGATCTTATTCGATATGATTGGGAGGTTTTCCTATAGAAGACAATTGGGGCTTCTTAAAGCAGATCAGGAGATCTTCGCAGAAGGTCAGTCGATTGTCTTATATAAGGCCAGGTGGTCTTCTTAGGAAATTCCACGATGTCTTCTAATAGAATACTAAGAAGTGTTCTTAAAGAATATAGAAGGAATTCCTATAGAGGTCCAAAAAAATCTTCGGCTAGAAGACCAATAGGTTTACTCAAATATTACAAGATGTTAGAATATCATTTGGTTTTTAATACGAAAAACCAAGACTGAAGGGTTTCTTAAAGAAGGACAGAGGTTTGTTATAAGAGGTTAAAAACCTTTTTATAGAAAGTCAGAATATTGTATTATAAAAGGTCAGGACATCTTATTATAGAAGGCCAGGAGGTATGCAGATGGTCTTCTTATAAAAGATTATTTAAAAAGCTAGAAGTTCCCCTAAGTCTGGCAACTAGTCCACTATCAGGAGTCCTACCGGTCGTTTATAAGATTGTCTTCCGGGTTTCTAGAAGATTTTTTACTATACTGTATATATTTCGATTATTGTTTTTTAACAGATCCCCCAATACTATTATAAAATCAAAAATTGTGCTCTCTCTTACCCTGCTTCTCAATTTTTGAACCATTCTCGGTTTTGCGCCACAATGAAAAACAAAATGTGAATTCTGGCGGACAAACACGCAAATGTACTGTGGCATCCTGATTCCGATCCATATCCGTTTCTTCATTTACTTTATTGTATTCCTTTGATGTAAGGCCACCACTATCAAATTGTGGTGGTTCCATTGAATCCGATGTATCAGCGTCATCATCTTTTTCCAAAAGAATGCGATCATCTTCCAAATAGCTCATGCAGCTGAAGGGTTTGGGAGCTATAAGAACATTTTTTAATTTATTTTTTTATACAAAATATTTCATTGAAGAGCTTACCTGCTCGGCATAGTGTTGTGGCAATTATCAAATATAGGGCTATACTGAGGACTTTCCTCCGCATCATGGTTAACTTCTATTAAGGGGTGGTAAGAACCACGTATACAATATATTTTTTATGATTTAGTCTCTTATATTTGAAGAGCTCCAGGTGAATGGGATCACCATTTAGTTTGTAAGATCAGTTTGAGAGAAAGGAGGCATTGCTGAAAAAAGAATATGGAAAAAGAATTAAGATTGAGAAAATATTCTTGATAAAAATTGACGGCTGGGGCTTCGAATTAATATTTTTTAAGAAAATCGCAGTTATGATTCCTTGAAAAATCCTGTAGTTTTTTTTAAAAAAAATTAATAAATCCACGTCTTCTTCTAGCTTCTGAAAGTCTTTTGACTTTTTTTTGAAATCTTGTGACTCAGATGGTCTTTAAAAATTGTCCTTAAAAATCCACATCTGGTCTTCCTCAATATGAGAGGAGGATTCCCGGTATTTTTCCATAATATGCCATTGCGGTCTATTATTAGAACCCCATTCAGAATTTTTGTTCGCAGTTAATAAATTGTAACCCTTTCGCCACTTTTTTGTTATTGTCCATTTTTTTTATTTATTTATTGCAGCCGTCTACAGTTTGCCTTATTTTGTTTTCTAATATTTCAATCTTTTGTTTCTGTTTGGATTAGAAGTAGTCGCCCTGGTCGATTCGTTATGTTTTTGTTAGAATGACGCGACTCGTCACGACGCGTAATTGTGCCTCAACTGATAAGGCATGTCTTGCCTTTGGATCGTGATAAGAATAAATAGCACCCAACAGAATTCAGTCAGTCACTCAATCACTTGTTGTACAATTGCAATTTTTTTAAAAAAAAAAAATTGAATAATTTTTTTATTAGTTCAAATGGATGAATGAACGGTGGACGGAGCAACCGACACTAAACACCATGTCCATATGTTGTGTCGATTATTATTAGACATTAGAAAAATAAATAATTCTAAGTAAATCTAATGGATAACCAGGTCTGGAGCCTCGCAACAAACCGCAAAACCGAAATATCAGCGCCACCTAATAAAGATGACAGACATGCCAGGACTGGCATCTTGATCAATCGTCGGCCATTTAATCTGTTAGATAGGCAATCGACAGCCATGCCACCACACAAAATATTTGTTTATTTATTTTTTATTTGTTTAATAATTTTTAAGGACACTTTAACAAACCATTAGTGGGGCAACAAATATTGATGAAGAGATAACCGTAATTCGAAAGAGAGAGATAGTATCCAATAAATTTCTAAGAGAATGACAAATGTGAGAGGATTCGTCCTACTCTTGGATATTCAATGAATACTATTCATTGCAAATTTAATTGACATTAGGATGGTCCCATAAAATAATTAAAAATAACCAATACAAGGCGTGGGTTTTTTAAAGAATATTTTGTAAAGGACCAATACAAGGCGTGGGTTTTTATAGAATATTTTTTAAAGGACCAATACAAGGCGTGGGTTTTTTAAAGAATATTTTTTAAAGGACCAATACAAGGCGTGGGTTTTTTAAAGAATATTTTTTAAAGGACCAATACAAGGCGTAGGTTTTTTAACGAATATTTTTTAAAGGACCAATAAAAGGCGTGGGTTTTTATAGAATATGTTTTAAAGGACCAATACAAGGCGTGGGCTTTTTAAAGAATATTTTTTAAAGGACCAATACAAGGCGTGGGTTTTTTAAAGAATATTTTTTAAAGGGGTTTTTAAAGAATAATATTTCCAAGTACCAACAGAGACGTGTTTATATTTTTTTTTTGTTTTGAAGAAGAATATTTTTCAAAGGACCAACAGAGGCTTGAACTTTTTAAAGAATATTTATCAAAGGACCAACAGAGGCGTGGATTTTTTAAAGAATATTTTTCCAAGGAACAACAGAGGCGTGGATTTTCCATTCAATCGTTTTTGATGTCCTTAATCCTTTCTTTAAAATTAAATTCCAAAAATATGAAAATGTAAAATAAAACTTCCATCTCTGTTAACCCTAATATATTTCCTCTCTTTGGGTTTTCTCTTAATTTTATTAAAATTCTCCATTGGAGTCTATCTCTCCTTATTTGTATCTCTTCTCATTAGCTCCACACATCAACTAAAAAAAATTCCATCGGCTCTTAAACAATGCGGCTATGGCGCCACATAATTGCAGTTTTTGTTGTCTTTTTTGTGAATTCGTTTTCGTTGTTGTTGTTGCTGTTTTTTTGTATTTTTTGCACACAACGTGTTTGTTGTTTGTGCCTGAATTTCAAATAGTTGTCTGTGTGGTTTGGTTCGGTTGTTTTTTAGTTTTTTTTTTTTCAATTTTTGTTGGCGATGTTTACTTTTGTTGGTGTTGTTGTTGCTGCTGTTGTTCATGTCTCATTATTCGATTTGTTGGAGCCTTGAATAGGGAAGAAGACCTGTCCGGTGCGGTGTAAGCGGTTGGGTAAATAGGCGTCGGGATGGTCGTCGTGTTTGGTGGGTATGGTGCGTGGTGGTTGGTGGCAAATCAATTTACAGTGAATCGCAAAAATTGTGAATTTGAAGAAGCGACAAATGAGAGATACATGTCTATAAGCGTGGTTTTATATTTGTCGGGATCGGGATCGGTGTTGAGAGTTTCTCTCTCTTGAGAGATTAATTAGAGTTGCGCTATTTTTAATTTTGTAACAAGCGTACTTTTTGTTCACAAAAGGTACGAATTGACATAAACGTACCAAAACAAAAATTAGATTTTTTATTATTCTTGAATACATTTACGCTTAAATTACAACATATATTATTTATGCAAATAACTGGTATAAATATTGGCCAATATTTATCGATAATTATGATTTATTATCATTTGAAGTAGAATTTCAGGTACCTTTTCGTACTTTTTTGTTCCTACCTGTGGTAATGTTTTCCAACACAATTCACAATTTACCACTGAGAGAGAGAGAAACTCTCAACACCGATACCGATCCCGACAAATATAAAACCACGCTAAGCAATCAAAAACGCTATTAAGTTGGATTGGATCTTCCCTCAAAATACCTAAAATTTCTAATTTCAATGTATTTTTTTAAATACATGGACTATGCCAAAACATGTACATGCACCATAAATTGATCCAGTACACATATGATACGTACAATACCGATAAATTAGGAAACATTTTTTAAACTATTTAGATGCTCCGGAAGGCGAAGTGAAATTTCAGTCCCCGGTTCAAATATGAAGATTTTGAGAGGGCGTTTGTGCTAGTTTTCTATTAGGCCCTGAATCTCTTACTGATATCCGAGTTTCCTAACTACTATTCAGTTATTCGGTCTGAATCATGAGGAAAATAGCATATTGCACCTGCAGATTTACATTGAGGTGGTTAGGTCCCATACAATTAAATGCGATATATAAAGTCGTTTCCGTTTTCTTGCAGTCTCCGCATATACCCGGCCCAGGCAATCAGGGTCTGGTCAATTTTGCATATATCCCTACTTAAAATTATCAATATTTTCCCAAAGTTTAGAACAGAATTGGTTTTAATTTATTTTTTATGTTCTCCTTAGAAGTTAAATCTGCATACCAAAAAAATCATTTTCGGATTTTTTAAATTATATTTTTTAGGTCAACAGAGGCATGGATTTTTTAGATAATATTTTTTTTTCTAGGACCCAAAGAAGCTTAGATTTTTTAAAGAATATTTTTTAAAGTTCTATCAGATGCGTAGATTTTTTGAAGAATAGTTTTCTAGGACCAACAAATGTGTGGACTTTTTTAAGTAATATTTTTTCTAGGACCAACAGAGGATGGCCTTTTTAAAGAATATTTTTCAAAGGACCAACAGAGTCGGTGATTATTGTTGGCTCTACTTTAATATTTTCACATCTAGGTTTTCCTCATGAAGAAGATTCTCTATAAGAAGAAGACCTTCAGCTATTCTCTAAGAAGATGACCACCAGCTCTTCTATATGAAGTCATCCATCTTTTCTATAAGAAGACATCCAGTTACTCCTTAAGAATAAGACCTTCAGCTCTCCTTTAAGAAGAAGACATCAATCTCTTCTATAAGATGAAGACCTCCAGCTCTTCTTCTTAAGAAGAAAACCTCTAGCTCTTCTTTAAGAAGAATGTATCCAGCTATTCTATGAGAAGAAGACCTCAAGCTTTTCTATAAGAAGGAGCCTTCCAGTTCTTCTATAAGAAGAACACCTTCATATATTCTATAAGAAAATGACAACCAGGTCTTCTATAAGAAAAAGTCCTATAGCTCTTCTATAAGAAGACATCCAGTTCTTCCTTAAGAAGAAGACCTTCAGCTCCGCTTTAAGAAGAAGACATCAAGCTCTTCTTGCCCCTGCAGCCCCTTTATAGGCATTTTCATGGTCCTAGACACATTTTCCAATCGAAGTAATTATATTATATAATATATAGCCGCATCAGGCAAACACCCGCACGAGTGCTCTCATTGAAAGTAATTTGTGTGAAAAAGAGTGTAAGGAACGGCTCTCCGCTTAACCCTGATATAAAGTACATACTTCTACATTGTTATCTTACAAACGTAATTTTCGATATGCTCATGGTCCTAGCCGAATTTTCCAGCCCTAATATCTGCATTTTGGTATTTCATTTATGTTTGACAGCAAGTTACCATATAAAAGTTGCAATCAATTTTAGGTATTTCTAATATCCATTTTATGTTGGAGGGTATAAAAAGATCGAACAGGTCAACCTCAACTACATGGGTATTTGTTCGAGGTCATTTAGACTAAATCGCGGAATAAGAAGAAGTTGGTCAACTTGTCCCATCTTCGCATTTGATTTAGGCGTGTACCAATATTCCCCATTTTCGAACTTAAACTATGTTTGGAAGGAATATTATGATGTGCAAAGTTTGAATGAAATCGTTAACTCCCTTCGAGAGGTATCGTGCGCACTAGCCAGATAGGCGGGCGGATAGACGGACATTTGAAATTCGAATCCAAATTATCTGAAACTGATTTGGTTCAAGAACATGGTCTAAAATTATCTAAAATTAACACTTTGATGAGGTACATTTTTTGCCGTATCAAAGTGTATATATATAATTAGCCATAAGGAACGGTCGACCTTAACTATGTTGTAACATGCTTAAGGGTCATTTGGGCTAGAATCTAGGATTTAAAAAATTCTCAAAAAATCCATAGACATTTGGGAAGTATAATCCGGTCATGACGGTGCATTAAAAAATCCTTCATTTCTGTTGGGCGCCGGTTTCCGTGTGTCACACTCGGGTACACCAATTAATCACTGTCGAAATACTTTATAACTACATAGTTTTTAACGACATATCGATTATAAGGACGATATCCAAAAGTCCCGACAAAAGTTTTGCCCTTTTATTTGGTATCACTTATAGGGACCAATCTTGCCGGTTATTTCACAGTCGTTCCAAGAGACTTCGATTTATTTTTTAAAATGATTAGGAATCTTGTTCAATTTTAAATATTTAAATCTCCGACGCTATTCTTTGAGCCACTGTAGCGGGGAACAAAAAACCAAAACATTTACAAAACCTGCTATAATATCGCTGTCGATGTTCTTGTTGGTATTGTTTTCATCTTCGTGTTTAGTTAATTTTTGTGAAATTTAGTTTTGCAGTGCAATTTTCATTATTCGTCGCTTTAGGTTTCACCAACCAACAAATATTGCTCCGAACATTTGTCAAGCAGTCAGTCAGTCATGTTTATCAAACAAACGCATTTCTGCTGTCATTTTCTGCCTTTCCTATCCTTTCGTTTCGTTTCGGATTTTTTGTCGCGCTAAACTGTTTCGTGGAGTAGAAAAATGTTAGCGTGTTAACGACTCTTTAAAGGCTTTTAGGGATGTTTTTTTGTTTTGTCTTCGTCTCCCTGTTTTTGTTGCTGTTGTCGCCGAGTTACGACAAGTATTGCCTTGGGTTGGTCGGTCGGTAGCTCGCATCCATGGTTGAGTGTTTACATCAAGTGTGCGGTGCGTCAGGACTTGAAAGTATTTCGCCTGGTATAAACAGAGAGGTAATTTCTTGGTGGGTGGTGGCGAGGATGGTAGCTCTACTCCTGCTGCTGCTAATGTTGTGGATGAGGTTAGGGAGGTTATAATGAGAATGGTGGTGGATTTCCTGCTTTTGCTTTGGGTTGTTTTTAGAAAAGTTCTCTCTACCTCTTAGACATTTTTGTACAACAACAAAAAAAGGTTCCTTTGATGTGAAGTTCAACGCAAAGACATTGATTTTTTCCAGGCAAACAGGAAGAAAACTATAATGGCATAATCCTTAGAAAATGTATTTCCTGGATTTTTGTGCTTTATTTTTTATATATACAAAATTATTTTGTTTTTTTCTTTAAAAATATCACATCACTTCAAACTGCATTGATTTTATTTGCATTTAATTTTTTTGCGAATGCATCAACACAGGTTTTTTCGTTTCAATTTTTTCTTTACCTTCAAATCAAAAAAATATTCCACTCTATTCTATTTCACAACTTTCTTTTAAACTGTTATTCAATTTTGTTTTTCAACACAACCTTCACTTATTTAACAATTTATTTCAATTTTTCTAATTTTGAAAATAATTATTTTTTATTTTTTCTCAGATTTAATTTTTCACTTCTTCAATAGCAAATAAAAAAGTATAAATCGTTTGGCTTTGCTTTGCTGTATTGAACCAGCCGACCGGCGCCAGTTTCTCTGCTTCGATTTCTGTTTGTTGTGGCGGATTTGTCGTTTTCGCGTAGCGTTGTTGCGTTTCCATTTAAAGCTGAATTGTTTCTGTGCAAAGTATCTCAAATGCGAAGAGAGCGAAGCTCCGAATGGCAGAAACAAAACAACAAGCCAAGGCAGCGTAAAATCCAAAACATCTGTGTGTGTGTGAGAGAGCGAATTGTATCCCCAACCTAACATTACAGAGAATATGCCACAATGTGGCCCCAAACACTTTTCCGTTCGTTTGCAGAGCAAAGTTTTTGTCAATATTTGTATCTTTGAGATACAAAGAGAATCCAATTGAATTATTCTCTTTTAAATGTTGCTATTACAAAATAGAGATGGAAAGTCTGAATTTCTGAAAGACAAACTTGAACAAATTCTCAGACCCTCGGTTCTGGAGCTTATTTTCTTTAGAAAAAATTTCCATACCTATTTTTTCTAGAAAAAATTTTCAGATCCACAGGTCTGTGATTTTTTTCCTTAGACAAAATTCTTAGACACACAGGTCTGTGACTTTTTTCTATAAAAAAGTCTGACAAAAAACTATCAGACACAAAAAATTCTCAGACCCTCGGGTCTGGTACTTTTTTCTATAGAAAAAATTCTCAGACCCTCGGGTCTGGTACTTTTTTCTATAAAAAAAATTCTCAGACCCTCGGGTCTGGTACTTTTTTCAATAAAAACAATTCTCAGACCCTCGGGTCTGCTACTTTTTACTATAGAAAAAATTCTCAGACCCCCGGGTCTCCTACTTTTTTCTATAAAAAAATTCTCAGACCCTCGGGTCTGGTACTTTTTTCTATAGAAAAAATTCTCAGACCCTCGGGTCTGGTACTTTTTTCTATAGAAAAAATTCCCATACCTACTTTTTCTAGAAAAAATTCTCAGATCCACAGGTCTGTGATTTTTTTCCTTAGACAAAATTCTTAGACACACAGGTCTGTGACTTTTTTCTATAAAAAAGTCTGACAAAAAACTATCAGACACAAAAAATTCTCAGACCCTCGGGTCTGGCACTTTTTTCTATAGAAAAAATTCTCAGACCCACGGGTCTGACACTTTTTTCTATAGAAAAAAATTCTCAGACCCTCGGGTCTGGCACTTTTTTTCTATAGAAAAAATTCTCAGACACTCGGGTTTGGCACTTTTGTCTATAGAAAAAATTCTCAGACCCGAGGGTCTGGTACTTTTTTCTATAGAACAAATTCTCAGTCCCTCGGGTCTGGCACTTTTTTCTATAGAAAAAATTCTCAGTCCCTCGGGTCTGGTACTTTTTTCTATAGAAAAAATTCTCAGACCCTTGGGTCTGCTACTTTTTCTATAGAAAAAAAATTCAGACCCACAGGTCTGTGACTTTTTTCTATAGAAAAAAATTTTCAGACCCACAGGTCTGTGACTTTTTTCTATAGAAAAAATTTTCAAACCAGACCCTTGGGTCTGGTACTTTTTTCTATAGAAAAAATTCTCAGACCAGACCCATGGGTCTGGTACTTTATTGTATAGAAAAAAATCTCAGACCAGACCCTTGGGTCTGGTACTTTTTTCTATAGAAAAAAATCTCATACCCTTGAGTCTGGTACATTTTCCTTTAGAAAAAATTCTCAGACCAGACCCTTGGGTCTGGTACTTTTTTCTATAGAAAAAAAATCTCATACCCTTGAGTCTGGTACATTTTCCTATAGAAAAAAAATCTCATACCCTTGAGTCTGGTACATTTTTCTATAGAAAAAATTGTCAGACCCTTGGGTCTGGTACATTTTTCTATAGAAAAAATTCTCAGACCCTTGGGTCTGGTACATTTTTCTATAGAAAAAATTCTCAGACCCTTGGGTCTGGTACTTTTTTCCATAGAAAAAATTCTCAGACCCATATGTCGGGTACCCAGATAGAGATGGAAAGCTTGAATTCTCAGACCCACAGGTTGGGTACTTTTTTCTATAGAAAAAATTCTCAGACCCACAGGTCGGGTACTTTTTTTCTGTAGAAAAAATTCTCAGACCCACAGATCGGGTACACAGGGTAAGGGTACTTTTTGATATAGAAAAAACTCTCAGACTCCCAGGTCGATTACTTTTTTCAACAGACAAAATTCTTAGACCTATAGGGCGGGTACTTTTCCGTCAGTCAGACGGACATTTCTAAATCGTAATAAAGAAAACATAGGGTCTATAAACCAATACTTGGATGAGGCACATCTGCCCGTCATTAGTCATAAGGCTGAGGGTATAAAACAATCTAAGACCGTATATAAAACATATTTTTAAAATCTATTTCGTAATAATTGGTTAAATTTTTATTTAAAAAAAATAAAAATCCTGGTAAAAATATATTTCATATTAAATGCATTGTTGTTGTTTTTTTTTATTAATTACTCTACTAATTAGGGTTAATTATCTATTGGAAAGGAATGGCTGGCAATACCTTGCCAGCGCATTCACCAAAACCAAGGCGGACACCATTACGTTCACAATAGCCACGGATGATGACTTCATCGCCGTCCTGCAAGAATTTACGGGTAGTACCGTCATTTAAATTGACGGTCTTTGATCCGCGCCAACTCAATTCCAACATCGAACCGAAGGAGTCTTCAGTTTCACCACTGATGGTACCGGAAGCCATCAAATCACCTGGGCGGACATTGCAACCGGTCACAGTGTGGTGAGCAATCTGTTGCATGGGTGTCCAGTACAAATATTTATAATTCGATTTGCAAATTTTGGTTTCGGTACTATTTTCGGCTGTAAAAAAAAATTATAAATTATTTCAAAATCGATAACCAAATTCCAAATCTCATGCTTACGTTTCAAATAAACTTCCAAATTAATATCAAAATTGAATGGCTTTTGATGTTTCAAATAGGGGAACACTTCTGGCTCCTGAGGGAAGTTATCCAACAAGAAGGGTTCCAAAGCTGCCACGGGAATAACCCAAGGAGAAATAGTGGTACCCAAATTCTTGGCGGTAAATGGACCCAATGGCACATATTCCCATTTTTGGATGTCACGAGCACTCCAATCGTTCATCAAAGTGAAACCGAAAACATTCTTCCATGCCTCCTCGACGGGGATACGTTCACCCAATTTATTACCAGGACCACCAATGAAGAAGGCCATTTCCAATTCAAAATCAAACAATTTGCAGGGACCAAAGACAGGAGGTTTACCATCAACGGGCAGAGTTTGACCAAGAGGACGACGGATTGGAGTACCGGATACAACCACAGAACTGGCACGACCATGATAACCGACGGGGATGTGACGCCAATTGGGCATCAAAGCATTCTCCTTGCCACGGAACATAATGCCAACATTGGTGGCATGATGTATGGACGAATAGAAATCGGTATAATCGCCGATTTCGGCAGGCAAATGCATTTCACATTCCTTTTGGGGAACGATGACGCTGTAAAGAGAAATACAATTTTAAAGTAAAAATGGAATTTGAAGGACTTCGGTTACGTGGGAACCGAAATTTGTTTTATAGAAAAAAAATTTTTTTTCTATAGAAAAAAAGTAATAGACCTGAGGGTCTCAGAATTTTTTCTATAGAAAAAAGTAACAGACCTGAGGGTCTGAGTACTTTTTTCTATAGAAAAAAGTACCCGACCTAAGGGTCTGAGAATTTTTTATATAGAAAAATGTACCAGACCTGACGGTCTGAGAATTTTTTTCTATAGAAAAAAGTACCAGACCTGAGGGTCTGAGAATTTTTTTCTATAGAAAAAAGTACCAGACCTGAGCGTCTGAGAATTTTTTTCTATAGAAAAAAGTACCAGACCTAAGGGTCTGAGAATTTTTTCTATAGAAAAAAGTACCAGACCTAAGGGTCTGAGAATTTTTTTCTATAGAAAAAAGTACCAGACCTGAGCGTCTGAGAATTTTTTTCTATAGAAAAAAGTAACAGACCTGAGGGTCTGAGAATTTTTTTCAAAAAAAAAAACTACCAGACCTTTAGTTCTGAGAATTTTTTTCTACAGAAAAAAGTACCAGACCTTTAGTTCTGAGAATTTTTTTCTATAGAAAAAAGTACCAGACCTGATGGTCTGACAATTTTTTCTATTAAAAAATAATAATGAGAATTTTTCTATAGGAAAAAGTAACATAAATAACGAGGTCCTTACAAATGTGTTTAAAAAATCTACGCCGAGGCCCTTAAAAATGTGTTTTAAAAATCTACGCCGAGGTCCTTAAAAATGTGTTTAAAAAAATCTACGCCTAGGTCCTTGAAAATGTTTTTAAAAAATCTACGTCTAGGTCCTTAAAAATGTGTTTAAAAAATCTACGCCGAGGCCCTTAAAAATGTGTTTCAAAAATCTACGCCGAGGTCCTTAAAAATGTGTTTAAAAAAATCTACGCCTAGGTCCTTGAAAATGTTTTTAAAAAATCTACGTCTAGGTCCTTAAAAATGTTTTTAAAAAATCTACGCCTAAGTTCTGCCCCTTAAACATTTTTATAAAAAATATTCTTCAAAAACTACGCTTTGCATCTGTCCAATAAAAAATATTTTGTGGAATCTACTAAAATCTACATCTAGGTTGTGACTCCTAAAAAATCCACGCCTTACCTTGTCCTTAAAAATATCCTTAAATACCTAAGCTTGTGGTCCTGGTAGTCATGGAAAAAATATTCCCTTAAAATCTATGTTAGTGGCTTCGTTGACCCTTAAACATAGTCCTTGAAAAAAAATCTCTAGGTTTGTGTCTCGGTTTACCCTTTAATTAATATCCTATAGTCCTTCCTAATTATCCTTACCTCTGTACCAAAGCAGCATTCTGTTCCAAAACGGAGTTCTTTAACAACAATTCCTGGGTTTTTGCCCGAACTACTTGCCAGGCAGTGTAGCCAAGGCTCATCAATTTGTTCAATGTCTCGGCTTGCAAAGCATCCTGTGGGAAAAAAGTGTTATAAAGGATAATTGCCAACTGTTATACACCACACAAACAAACAAAAAATTCCATACCTGAACTTCTGGTGGATAGAAGGAAGCAACACCATTCAAATCTAAAACACTGTCACCGATGGCAACACCCAAACGTTTGCGGGGCTATAAAAGAAGACAAGAGAGAAATTAACATAACAGATAAACAAGCGACAACAAAAACAAAAAACAAAACAATAACAACAATATTATCACACACCAATTTAAATATTTTAGAATTTTTTATTACACCTGAATTCCAAAATAAGAAGAAGAAAATAAAAATCTGTTGACTTGTTGTTATCAACACCGGCTGGTGGCTGTTCGATGCCGGCCAAGTGGATGGCTACTTTGTTGCTCTTGTTTGTGGTTCAACCGACCACCAGTTCACAGCCAGTTGGAAAAACAAGTCTAATTTATGTAAATGCTAGTTATAATATGCAGATCATTTTAATCTGGAGCCCTGTTTTTTAAATATTGTTTTTTTTATAGTTTTATTTTCTATTTTAAAATATTGATTTGAAATATGCGGCGAACAAGTAGAACAGGATTTTTATCGTTTTATTTTTCTTCTTAATTAAACTAGAACACATGTGGACCACATTCCACTATAAGAAAAAAATTATATATTTTTTATTATTTACTTACATTTGATTTTGTCGAGAATACACCATAGGGTAAATTTTCCAATGGAAAATCGCTGCCAGCTGGGATGTGAACAAAACTTACTGCCATTTTGTTGTTGGATTTAAAATCGAAATTTATTTTTGAATTTTTCGGATAGAATGCCACAGCTACCGCTAGTATGAATACGAATGCGGTGAAGAGTACCTGCTTGAACGCCAGTTGAACAGCAACTGAAGTCAAGCCAGTCAGCCAACGAACCCATACGATACGACTCAGTTGACTTCGTCAGTCAAACACTGATATGATCAGTGTTGAAAAAAATTATTTTAATTGTACGAAATTTCGTAAGAAAAAAATCGAAACAAATTCCCGTTCAGAAGTGGGAGAGTACAGGTAAAGAAATATTTATGAGCAGAAAATGTATTTTTTGTATGAATTTTACTCTACATATAGCTGAATGCATAAGGCGGTAAGTTGTACAGTATGGTACGAAAGTGTACCATTATTAATAATTTTATTTTTTTTTCCAAACCCAATCTACGATCTATTCTCTCAGCTATAACAATTAGTAAGGGATCGTGGGAAAATGTTGCCACAAGATTTGAAAATGTTTAGTATAAAAATACCTAAATAAATATTCATAGAAAACCACGCTTTTTATCGGATGGTCTTCGAAAGATGTCTTCTTTTGAAAATTTTTATTATGTTTATGAACCACTAAAGAAACTAATAGATTTCAAAGAAATTTTCTATAGACAAATGTAACAGACGTGAGAGTTTGAGAATTTTTCTATAGAAAAATATAAGTGACCTGAGGGTCTGATAATTTATCTGTAGAAACATATATATTTTTCTCTATAGAAAAAATGTTTCTATAGAAAAATATAACAGACTTGAGGGTCTGTGAAAATTTTCTATAGAAAAATATAACAGACCTGAGGGTCTGAGAATTTTTTCTATAGAAAAATATAACAGACCTGGGTTTCTGTGAAATTTTTCGATAGAATTATATTTTTCTATAGACCCTCAGGTCTGTGAAATTTTTCTATAGAAAAATATAATAGACCTGAGGGTCAGTTATATATTTTTATAGAAACATATAACAGATCTGAGGGTCTGTGAAATTGTTCTACAGAAAAATATAACAGACCTGATAAAATGTATCAGACATGAGGGTCTGATGAGAGTCTGTGAAATTTTTCGATAGAATTATATAAAAGACCTGAGGGCCTGTGAAATTTTTCAATAGAAAACCAGTAAGGAAATTAGTAAAGTCGGACTGGGCCGACTGTATGATACCTTTCACCACTTGTATCCCTAAAATTGTATGTCAATGTTCGGTCGAAGGAACATTCTCATTTTTTTTTTTTTTTGCAACCAATGATAAATTTAATTTAATTCGGGCAGATTTAAAGTCGTCTGGGTACCATGGGACAAATTTATGGAAAACAATTTATAGCAAAATTGATACACTTTTTTCGGTACGCCGCACTGTTAAAAATTTAATCTCAATCAGACACCCGTTCGAAATACATATGGAAGCTATGGCTGCATTTGCACCAATTTCAATAAAACACAATAACGTCATTCAAGTCTCAATTTGATACGTTGTGCAAAATTTCATGTTAATCGGACAAACATTAGGAGTTTGGTGCACCATTATTTACCTTAAATCGGGCGAAAATGTTTATGGGAGCTATATCTAAATCTGAACCGATTTTCACGAAACTTAGCACACACGTCATTCTAGGCTTAATTCAATACTCTATGCCAAATTTCGTGCAAATCGAAAAATATATATGGTCTTTGGTGCACAAATTACTTTAAATCGGATGAAAATATATATGGGAGCTATATCTAAATTAGACCCGATTTTCTCGAAATTTGACACACATCATTCTAGATTTAATTTAGTACGCTATGCCAAAAGTCGTACAAATCAAAAGATTTCCAGGGACTTTAGTGGACTATTTACATAAAATCGGGTGAAACTATACATGTGAGCTATATATAAATCGGAACCGATTTTAACGAAACTTTGCACACATCATTCTAGACTTAATTCAGATGCAAATCGGCTTTGGTACACCATTTACCTTAAATCGGACGAAGATATATGTATATGGGAGCAATATCTAAATCTGAACCGATTTTTCCCAATTTCAATAGGGTTTGTCCTTGGGCCATACAAATGAGCTGTGCCAAGTTTCATCCAATTCGGATCATAAATGCGACCTGTACTTAACATGGACAGACGGACGGAAGGACGGACGGACATGCATAAATCGACTCAGATAGTGATTCTATGCATGTTCTCAAAAGGAACCATGGGTCTATCTCGATTCCTATTGCCTGTTACAAACATATGCACAAAGACATAATATCCTGTACCACAGTGTGGTGAAGGATATAATTATAACAAACCTGAGAGTCAGAGAATTTTTCTAGAGAAAAATATAAGAGACCTGAGAATTTTTCCCTAAAAAAATTTAATAGACCTGATGGTTTGAGATTTTATCTATAGAAAAATTTTCACAGAACTGTGGGTCTAAGAATTTTTCTATAGAAAAATTGTCAGGCCCTCAGGTCTGTGACAATTTTTCTACAGAGCATAACGACCGGCCGAGCATAACGACAGATTTACTTGTTTGATTCCACCAAATTCCGATTCCTCATCTAGTAGTGTATCACCTGACCCTTAGTGAAAAAAATAAATCCACAATTTTAAGTTTTTTTTTTTGTTGATTATTTATTTATTTGTTTATTATTTTATTGTACAACATTTAACACATTGAAATATACATATATATGATTTAGTTATTCATCTCATTTAGTTGTATTATTTCAATTTCAATTGAATGAATTTACTTTGGCTATTTAAACGGTATATAATAATAAATATGTATATATATAAATTGTATATAAGTACATATGTATTTGTTGTTGTGGGGGGTCTGGAGAGAAATGTAGAATTTTCCATTTTTTTGTTAATGAATTTTAATTTGTTTGTTTGTATGTACTTTATTTTTGTTGTTGTTGATAATTGTGATCTATATTAATACATATATAGATTGATAATTTAAATACATATACATCTATAAAGAAATATTAATTTTGTTATAATAATAAATTTAAACATTTAACAAACTACAACAAATTTTTTGTATTTTTTTTTTGTCGGATATTATTTAATTTGTTTTTTGGTGGCATAACAATTTGTTTGGCAATTTATTTTTAAATTTTATAATTTATTATTATTTTTTTGTGGGGGAAATTATTTAAATTATATTTATTTATTTTTTAATTTTAAATTTTAAATTTTAAATTTTATATTTGCCATATAGAGTTTGAACTACGCAAGACGTGCATTCCCGTTATTCTTTCGTGCTTTTAGTGTGTGTGTTTGTTGAATTTTTGGTTTGCTTGTTTTTTGTTTGTTGTTGTTTTTATGTGATGAGAAAATGTTACTTTTTTTGCTTGTTTTTTGTTTTAAATCAAATTAAACATTTTTAATGTGCAATTTTTTGGTTTTGTTGCTAAATATGCGTGCAATTTTCAAAAGAAAAAATATTTTTTTTTATATTTTTTTTTTAATTTTAGTTATATTAATTATTTTGCGTGGCATTTGCATACAGTTTTTAAATTTGTAGTTTTGTTATTTTTTAACCTCGCTCGCCTTAAATATTAATTATTGTCAGTCACAGCTTAGAACATTTCCATCTGCAGACCTCATTATTTATGGGCAAGTCTAATCAAAATGTTTTTTTTTTACTTAATTACTATAATTTATTTATTAATTACTAAAATGTCTTCCACAAGTTAATAATTGCAATATTTCTATTATTTTAATTCAATTTTTTTATATAATACACATATTTTTATTGACTTGGTTGTTTGGGGGGAAAATCGAAAATTGTCTTCCTTTTTTTAATTATTTTTATATATTAATGTCTTCCAAAACATTGATATATATTTTATTTCTTTATAATTAAAATCAAAAAATATTATTTTTATTATGTGTGTCAACTTTAGTAAACCATTTGGAAAAATAATAAAAAAATTTTAAAATTCTTTGTTGGTATTAATTTTGTGAAAATAAAATAAGTGTAATTTTTTGAAATTTATGCTGCTCAAATTTCAATATTACCGAAAATAAATAGCATAACATTCCGATTATTACATTTGTCTATTAAATATTATCGATCTAGATTTTCGATAAAATCGTTAAAACAAAACTATCGATATTTTGAAATATTGACTTTTCGATAATTGACACAATTCCACTAATTGTTACATAATTCTCATTAAAATCAATTTTTTCATAATAAAATGATTTCAAAAAAATATCTTTTTTCGATAAATATTGAAAATACATTTTAGTATTATATAAATTAAAATTATATTTGAAAATTAAACGTAATTAAATTGAAATTAATTGTTAAAATAATTTTTATTGAAATTAATTTTTTCATTATAAAATGATCTGAAAAAAACAAGTCTGTTATCGATAAATATTGAAAATAAATTTAAATATTAAATAAATTAAGATAATATTTAAAACTATAGGTAATTAAAAAACTTTTTCCAATGTTGAAATATATTTTTTTAAATTTAAATTTTTAACATATTTTCGATTTGGTATTTTAATATTATCGATAAAAAATAGGTATAAGGAAATTTTATAATTACTGAATTGTTTAACTTATAAAAGTTCATTATCCGGATTTTTATCGATAACATAAAAATCCGGATTTTTAACCATAATATAAAAATGTACACTTTTTTTATTGTATGGATCATATTTCATATTTGCTTTTTTTAATTAACAAGAATTTTTTGTAAATGATTTTTATCGATAATTTCTGAGTCATTAAAATCAATGTATTTAATTTTTTTAAGTAGATTTTTTCAAATATCGATTTTATGTCACTGTTAAAATTATTGATTGAATATTGAAAAAGATTAATTTTTTATAATTGATTTTATCAATAAAAATTGAAATATCGATTTTTATCGATAAATTATAATATCGATTTTTTACTTATCGATACAATTATATTAATTTGGATTAGTTCAAATCAACAATATTTGTTTATGATCAAACGATTTTTTTTAATCGATTTAGATAAAATCGATAAATTAAAATATCGATTTTTTAGTTATCGATACAATTATATTAAATTGTACTAGTTTAAATCGACAATATTTGTTTATGATCAAATGATTTTTTCTCATAAATTGACTTATGAAAATCAATGTTATCGATTATGTTCGATTTAGATAAAATCGTGATCATGAAATTTGAATTTGAAATTTCTTCTTTTAACCTTTTCAATAATTTTTGTAATTTATTTAAATGATTTGATTTTATCTAAAGAATTGACTTATAATCTATATATGAATAATCGATAACATCGATGTTGTACAAAATTGAAATTTTCTGAGTAATTTGATTTTTTAATAATTTCAAAAAAATTCTTATATCGATTAAATTTGAATTTCAATGTTTTATCGATGAGGTTGAAATATCAGTTTCTATCGATAAATCTGTTATCGACAACAATTTTACTAACTTTGAATTTTTTTAATGAACAATATTTTTTATGTTTAATTATTTTTTTCTAAGGAATTAACTTATAGCAATCATTGTTATCGATTTTTTTAACATTGGTTAGAAATTCCGAAGCCATTGAAGGGTCTCAAAGGAAAAACTAAAAAAAATTTCCATAAAATCAAGAATCAATAAAAAATACTAAAAATCTAATATATATATACACATTATTAGTTTATTAATTTTATTATAGATTAAATAAAATAATATAACGATAAAAACAAAATTGATATAATTTTACTAAAGTTGACACCACTGCTTTTTTATATTATTTTTTGTTAATATTATTTTTTTATTGTTTTACATACTTATGTACATATATGACATATATGTATGCTAGTTTATGTGTTAATTTTTTATTATTATGAAATATTTATGATATTTGTTATCGATTTTTGACAATACACTTGAAGAAGATATGGTGTACACTGAAAAAAAAAATATTTTTTAATAATTACAAAAAAACAAAAATTACCATCGATAAAAAACAGAATTTATCATGATCAATGGATAAAATTGTAATTGCAAACAACACTAAACTCTTGGCTAACATTTATCGATAACTCTTCGTTTAAGTATGTTTTGGGAATGAATGCTGTTATGTGTATACATAATTTTTATTTTATATATAGAAGTTATGTGTATATATTTTTTTGGCATACATATATATATGTATAATATAAGATAAAATAAAAAAATAATTGATTTCTTTTTTATGTTGTTGTTAATTGATATGCTGATTCCATTAACAAACTAAAATGGAAAATTAAAATATATATTTTTTTTATTTTTTTTTAATATTTGGATTTATCAACAGTGTGACGACGATATGTTGTATATATGAATATTTTTGGTTGTTGTTATTTTTATGTTTCTATAATTTATTTATTTTATGTGGCAGGCCATTATAACCTTAAAAAGGATACACGGTTACCACAACTACTAAAAGAATAGTGTCCTAGTTGTCTATGCTCACAATCACCTCAATGGAGGCCGATGACATTTACAAACTATTTCACCTGGAAGCCCTTTAGTGATTTTGTTGTTTTTTTATGTCAATAGGAACTAGATTAAAGAATGGAAGATAAAAGCAATTTTTTAAAGGAAATAAAATTAAAAAAAATATTATCCCCACCTTAGATCCTTTTCCTATCAACAACTTTTTAAATTATGTTTTTTATAATTTAACAGTATATATATGATTTGTTTATATATATAATTTCTTTATGTATTTTATGATTTTTTTTGTAGATTTTTCTTGTTGTTGTTTTGTTTTTATAGTTTCTTTTTAATTGAAATTAATTACAAATTAATTGATGCGCATAGGGATTAGTTTATTACTTTCAATTGTTTCCATTCCTGGTTTTGTTAATTAATTCTTATTGTTTTTGTTATATAGCAGTGTTTTGTTTTTGTTAAAGATAAATCATTTATATATAGAGAAAAAAAATTAAAAAATTTTATATATTGAAATTTACTTTAAAAGAAATTTACGAAAAAAAATTAATAACAAAAATTAGAACAAAGTTTAAAGTCCACTTTTTTCAAAAGCTAAGACTAAAAGAAATCAATTTTGAAAATTTGAAATCAAACTAATATATTTTAATTAATTCAAAAATAAAAATCTTCATTCATCACCCATATCCTTCTGCTTATCCAGAAAATGGTGACAAATCACAATTGCACAATGACCCGCCATCGCCAGTTTTACACAACGCAGCACAAAGTTCATTCCAATTTGGTGTTGTAACAGTTGTTGTAGTTGTAGTGACATCAGCGATCGGAGCTATATTGACCACCTCCCTCTGGTCACTAGTCAGGTTAATCGCTGAAAAATTATTATCAACTTCATTTGTTGTTGCTGTTGTTGTATTCTTGGAGCAAGGACTACAGCCGGCCAGTGTGACATGACGAACATCACAAAATATGGAACAGACATTCATCTCCACTTTCGTTTTTATTTGATGGAAATTCTGGTGTTCGGATGTCGAATTTTTACATGTACAGACACCATCGCCTGAAATTAAAAAAAAATGAAATAAAATAATACAAATTAAATACGTAACATTTCGGAAGGGCCTTTTAAAGAACATTATTCTAGGATATCCTAAGCAACAATCTTTAAAACAAATTTTTTAAGGACCTAGAGCAGAATTTATAGTGTCAGGATTTTCAGGAAATATTTTGATAGTACCATTATAAGCGTGGACTTTTTAAATGTGAATTGTTTAATGAATTTTTTAGAACTAATTTTATTTTTTCAAGAAAAAATCAAATATTTCTATTCAATGAAATTGTTTCTAGGCGTGGAGCTTTTAATGAATATTTCTTCGTAGATTTTTTAAAGAACACTTTTTTTAGGGCCTACAGATGTGTGGATTTTTACAAAGAATATTTTTTCTAAGACCAGCAAGGGGTGGTTTTTTAAGGTTATTTTTTCTAGGGCGCGGATAGATGACGGTATAGAGTGTATACCACCTAGCCAAGATGAAGTCAGAATTGCAATCAATCGGCTGTAGAATAAACCAGGTACCGATGGGTTACTATTCAAGACTGGTGGCCAGATGCTGTTAAGGAGCATACACCAGCTGATTAGTACAATTTGGCTAGAAGAATGCATGCCCAATGATTGGAACCTCAACATTCTGTGTCCCGTGCACAAAAAAGGAGACAAGACGATATGTGCCAAATATATACGAATACGTTTCCTTCCCATCGCATATAAAGTACTATTCAGCGTCCTGTGTAAATGACTGAAGCCAATGATCAAAGGCATTATTGGACCATACTGCGCCAAATCCTGGAAAAAACCCATTAAAAACACATCGACACATTCCACCTATTCGTCGACTGTAAAGCCGCATTCGTCAGCCCTATCCGTTCAGAGGTGTATAAAGCCATGTCTGCATTTGGCATTCCTGCAAAATTAATTCGGCTATGCAGGATAACTTTAACAAGCACAAGATCAGCAGTTAAAGACGCAAAGGACCTCTCAGAGCCCTTTAACACCGAACGAGGATTCAGACAAGGTGATAGTTTGTCGTGTGACCTTTTTAACATCCTGCTGGAAAAGGTCATACGAGAGGCAAACGTGAACCGAAATGGCACTCTGTACACCAAACAACACATGCCAATGACATCGATATAATCGATGATATAATATAATCGATCGAACATTGCGTGCGGTAACAGCCACCTTTGAACAAATTGAGAAGGAGCCTGCCAAAGTGGGTCTGGCAGTAAACGGCGAGAAGACCAAGCTTATGGTATCAACTCACAAGACGTCCAGTAGACTCGGACTCGGTGGTAGTCAAAGATTTTATATACCTTGGTACCGCCATAAACAAAACGAACGACATCAGTTTTGAAATTCGGAAAAGGATAGTGATGGTCAACCTGTGCTACTATGGTCTAAGCAAACAACTCAAAAGCTGGGCCACATCCCGCCAGACCAAACTCACACTCTACAAGACGCTGATACTACCCGTGCTGTTATATGGATCTGAAGCATGGGTACTTGCGCAAGCAGATGAAGCAGCTCTTGGAGTGTTTGATAGAAAAATTCTCCGAATGATCTATGGACCGATCTGCGTTGACGGTGAATATCGCCGTCGAATGAAACATGACTTGTACCAGCTATTCTCGGACATCGACATTGTTAGACGTATTGAGCTGCCCAGCCCAGAAGGGATATAAAAGTGAACCAGCTGATGGTTCACGCAGAAGGGGAAGGTCACGAATACGATGGGAAGATCAAGTCGAAGACAATATTGCCGAAAATGGTCTTTCAAATTGGAAAAACTGCGCAAATGACCGATGCGCCTGGAAATCTTTTCTAAGCTCTGGCTTATGGAACGAAAGTTCTGTCACAAGCCAGCTAAGTAAGTAAGTAAGGATTTTTGAAGGATATTTTTTCTAGGGCCTATAGAGGCGTGCAGTTTTTAAAGAATGTTCTTTCTAGAGCTTACTGAGGCGTGGATTTTTAAAGGAATGTTTTTTCTACGTCCAACAGAGGCGTGGGTTTTTTAAACAACATTTTTTCTGGGACCCGCGTGGATTTTTAAATGAATGTTTTTTCTAGGACCATCCAAGGCGTGAAGTTTTTAAAGAATATTTGTTCTAGGGCCTACGAAGAGTGGTTTTTTTTAGAATATCTTTTCTAGGCCCAGTAAGGCTTGGATTTTTTAAGAAATATTTCTTTTAGGCCCAATGAGGCTTCGAATTTTTAAAGAATATTTTTTCTAGTCCCAATATGGCTTCGGTTTTTTAAAGAATATTTTTCTAGTCCCAGTAAGGCTACGACTTATTAAAGAATATTTTATTGGACCATCCAAGACGTAGATTTTTTAAAGGATGGAAGAGACAAGCGAGGGTATTTAAATTTTTTAAAGAAAATCGACCCGCTTATTTTTTTAAAAAAATATTTTTTAAGAACTATGTTTTTATGGACCAACACCAGAGTGTATTTTTTACGCAGTTGTGGGTTTTTAAGAATTAATTTTTTAAAGGTCAAAAGGCCATTTTGGATGTGGATCCTAGCTTATTTTTTAACCTGAGAGTATGAGGTTTGATATTTATTTTCTCCTAGCAACAATTTATCGCCGTAAAAAGTCCCAATTGCAATTAGATATGCAATATGAATATGAATATAAAAAAATATTCCTAAAGCTTGAAATACTTTTTCAAGGACTTTTTAAAAATATATATTTTTTTAGTAACCATATTAAGCCAGTAATTTCTAATGAATAATTTTTAAGTGTTATTACGCGCGTGGGTCTGTTAGAGTTTAATTATTTTCCAACCGAAGTGACTGAGGGTATAAGTTGAAAATTAATGTGCCCTATAAAATATTTTGTTACTAACACCGTCGAAAACCATTTAATCATTTAAAAGAGTTTTATTCTTTGGTTTTAATTAAATTTGAATAAAAAATTTTAAACTTACCTAGCTGTAATCCACATAGCTGAGGGCATATGAATTGTTTCTTGGAATGCATTAGGGTGTTGGCATTTTCAATTTGCACTTTCGTGGGTAAAACTGGCATTATTTTACAATAGGGGGAGCAAACAGCGCCGCCTAAAGCAGCTCTAAAAAACACACACACAAGAAAAGTTTGAAATTACAAAACTTTTTTCAATCTCCGAAATATATTAACACAAATAATACACGACACTTTGACACTTCATTTTTAATTTGCAAAAAAATCTCAAATTTAGTTTTCAAATTTTTTTCCATGATGACATTTACAAAAAATTATGATGATGTTATATAAACTTTGATTTAAAAGAACTTTTTTCAATTTCTTTTTTGGAAAGGACATTTTAAGGTAAACGCACACACACAGACACACTTCTAATTTTTATGTTGTTGTTGCTTGCTTTCTTTCTGTGTTGAGAAGCAAACTTACCCGCAGAGCTGTTGACACACCAAACTCCAATCTTCAACTGCACTGGATAGCGTCGAACTGTCTACAGTTTTATCATCAAGGTTTTCAGCCACGGATGCTGCTGTCGCAGTCACCGACTCTGGTCCGTCGTCTCCTTTAGCGCCGCCATGTAACGGCAACTGTGACGTCACATTATCCTTAGCCAATACAATGGTCTTGGCATGCGCCGTGGCAGCCAGGAGGCCAACCAATAGCAATGCCTTGGCCAATTGCTGCATTGTAACTGTGTGGGTGCAAAAAAGAGAGAGAGGCATATTAATGGAGAGAGTAAATGAGAGAGAAAATCTATGACGTCAAACAGAGAATAAAATGTAACAAAAAGAAAGGACAACGGATGCTAAGGTTAACATCTACATATTTATGTGTAGATGCGAGTGGATGGATACATGGCCAAATGTCTGTACATACGAAAAATCTATGTGCAGAGGTGTGTAATAATGTGTGCATTTGCATGGAAGATAGATGGTGATGATATTTACACACAACGCAAAACTGTAGGCGTTCAGCTACGATGTGCCATTTACTTATTTCTACTTTGTAGGGATTTTTTTACACTATTCGAAAATTATATAAATTAAAAAAAAAGTGTTTTTTTAAATTTCTTTAAAGGACCAATTAAAGACTTAAAATGTTAAATATGTTTTCAAGGACCAACTAACTTTTTTATTTTATGGAATTTCCAATTATCCAATTATAGGCGTGGGCTTATCTATACTAATAAAAGAGTAAAGTGATTGACTGATTGCCTGACTGACTGATTTAACGATTCATCAACACCCAGTTGAAACAGCTGAAGCAAGAATCTTGAAATTTTGGGTGAGGGTCACTCTTGGTCCAAAGGTGACAGATGAGGCTGGGTTTTTGAAAATTCGTACTAGAACGGTAGGAAAAGTACCTAAATGTGAAACCATTTGTATTTGGCGAACCGGTAGAGCTAGAACTCTGAAATTTGGAATGAGGATCAAGAATATATGTACCAAAGGGTTTTTTGGACATTTGAACTATAAGTTCTAAATTTGGTACAATTTCGTAGCATGTGCATGGATAGAGGTAAAAACTTTAAATTTGGAATGCGAATTAGGGTTGAAATGTAGAGTCTATTTAAGGATATGGTTTTGAAAGCGTGTACTCATGTTTACGAAAAGTACTATATGGTACTATATTTGGTACAAATTTAATCTATACTAATAAAAGAACAAAGTGATAGACTGATTTAAAGCTAGAATCTTGAAATTTTAGGTGAGTGTCACTCTTGGTCCAAATGTGACATATAAGGCTGGGTTTTTGGAAATTCGTACTAAAACGGTACGAAAAGTACTAAAAAGTTCTAAATATGGTATGATTTGTATTTGGCGAACCATAGAGCTAGAACTCTGAAATTTGGATTGAGGGTCACTGATGGAGTGTTGAATAGATATAGCAAAGGGCTTTTTGGAAATTCGAACTATAAGTATCCGAAAAGTACTGAAATGTACTAAATTTGGTACAATTTCGTAGCGTGTGAATGGATTGAGCTAAAAACTTGATATTTGGAATGCAAATGAAGGTTGAGAAATAGGGTCGATATGAGGAGAGTTTGGAAAGCGTGTACTCATGTGTACGAAAAGTTCTATATGGTACTATATTTGGTACAAATTTGATTTGGAGGTACAAATCGAGCTGGAATCCTGAAAATTGAAATTAACATTACCGTTGGAGTTTAGGATTGGGATATGTACGTAGTTTTGGAAAATGTTTACTTATGTGTAAGAAAAGTACTAAATCGTACTATAATTGGTACAATTTGGATTTGGGTGAACCGATAGAGCGGGAACAATGACGTTTGGAGTTAGGATCATTGTGGGCATGTAGGATTTGGGTCAGGATTCAGTTTAACAAATTAATACTTATGAGTACTAAATGGTACAAAATTTGGTACAATTTGAATTTTAGGTGAACCAATAGAGCTAGAATCATGAAATTTGGGGTCAGGATCACTGTTGAGGTGTAAGATTGAAATATGTAGGAAGTTTTAGAATTTATACTAATGTGTACTAAATTTGGTACAATTTAAATTGTGGGTGAACCGATAGAGTTGAAATCATGAAATTTTGATTTAGGATCACTGTGGAGGTATAGGGTTGGGGTATGTAAGAAGTTTTGGACTAAATTTGGTACAATTTGAATTGTGGGTGAACCGAAAGATTCAGAATCCTAAAACTTGGATTTAGGATCACTGTGGAGGTGTAGGATTGGGGTATGTTGAAGTTTTGGAAATTTAGTACTGTGTACTAAATTTTATACAATTTGAATTGTGGGTCAACTGATAGTGTTGGAATCCTGAAACATGGATTTAGGGTCACTGTGGGGGTGTTGGTTTGGGTTAAGAAGGAAGTTTTGGAAATTCGTACTAATGTGTACTAAATTTGGTACAATTTAAATTGTGTAGGATTGAGTATATAGGAAGTTTTGGAATTGGTACTACTGTGTACAAAATTTGGTACAATTTGAACCTATGAAGTAGGGAGTGGGAAGTGGGTTTAGAATCATTGTCGGTGTGTAGGATTGGGATATTTAGGAAGTTTTAGAAATTCGTACTACTAAATTTGGTACAATTTGAATTGTGGGTGAACCAATAGAGTTGGTATCCTGAAATATGAATTTGGAATCATTGTGGGGGTGTAGGATCGGGGTATGAAGGAAGTTTTGTTAAATGGTTGAGGAGGGTACTTAGGGAAATAATGTGTGTTAAATGGAAAACTTGGTAAAATTTGAATTTGGGTGAACCTTTAGAGCTCGAATCATGAAATTTGGTGCTAAATGGTACTCAAATTTAATTTATGGTCGATATTTATGTGTGGATTGTTTTTTCAGACATATGCAGTTTTCTATGAAAATAAAATAATATGTTAATACATGTTTAAATATTTCCTACATTCGCTAACGAAGTTGCGGACATATGCCAATTAAAAAAAATATTTTTCTCAAGGTCCACAAGGGCGTGAATTATTTGAAAATATTTTTTTTAAGATCTATATATGTGTGGATTATTTGAATATATTTTCATTTATTTAGAACCTAAATAAATACGCCACACTGTCAGCATCGCTCTTGGCACTTCGGTGTTTGCATTAAATTTAAGTTTATATATTTTGCAACTGTGTTACACAATGTGTAAAGTGTGCAATGCTGTGAACAATGGAATTCGGAATTGCCGAGAGACAAACATTGAACAAATATTGAACAATGGATGGCCGCGAGGTAAAGTGCCTAGCTCTAAATGTAGGCCCAATGGTACTTAAAATGCAATTTTTAAACTACACTGGTTATCTATGGCGATATTTGTAACAATTCTTGGCCAATGAAGCGTTCTAGCATACAACTATCCTTTGAACAAAGTACACACACACACATATATACATACAAACACATAATACACTGGTGTTGATACCAATCAACCATAAGGTAATGGACGATTAGGTTTTTTTCTTCTTCATCATCTTCTCCAAATGCCAAGTATGTCAGTTTCTGTGCTCATTTCAAATGGCAAACTGTGTTTGCAAGGATAGTGGGAGGATATAGTGAATGCTGTTGTTGCTGCTGTTGTTTGTTCTTGTTCATTATATAATTCGCCAACTAGGGACAAATTTAAATGGATCACTTATGATTACAATCCGAAAGAAAAACTAACAACTACCTTCATAACGTGTGTGTGTGTGTGTAGGTAACTTATAAGTCCTTGTCTGCTTTTTTGGTTTAGCAAGGACTTTTGTTTTCCCTGTTTTTTTCTTCTTTTTTTGTATCCCTGTTTGTCATGCTTGTTTGTTCTCTGCTTTGGTTGTCCAAAAAAAAACTAATTCTGTATCCGACTCCCACCAAAAAAATCGAAAAAAAAAACGAAACGAGCCGAAAAACTCGCCATTCGTTTTGTCGCCTATTCTCGTTTCGTATTTTATATAAGTAGTGATGCCGAGCAAACGGAAAACGCCATTTTGGTGGAGACGTCTGATCCTGACACACATTTTCAAGTGAAATACATTTTCCACCAGCTTTCCACTCTCGGAATTGAAAAGTGGCAACAAACAAATCAAATCCAACAACAAAAAATATTAAAAAAAAATTGTGAAAATATTTTCGCGTATTTGGGTTATCGAGCTTATCATCACTATTTAAATAGTCAAGAAAACAAAGGTACGAATCAAAAATGCAAAAACAAAAAAAAAAATTAAACTTCATTTCTTTTTTTGTAATGATATTTGAAAATGAAGTTGTGTGTGTATATATATTCAGATATATAGAAGAGGATTATTATATAAACTGAAGTACATAGTGCGTTGGTATGTGTGTGTATTGAAAATTAAAGTTCGTAAGCAGAATCTGTGTTCGATGTGTGTATTTGTGATTGGAAAAAGAAAACCCTGTTCCCAAATGAAAGTGTCAGAGACTGAGATAGAGGGATAAACTTTGAAGGATATTTGGTAATAGATTATGTGGAAAAACTCATTTTATATCCCAAACAAAAACCTTTTTTTTTCTCGATACAGCTTGATGTAAGATAACTACACATTTCTCGTATACACAACTAAGTGTTTTACATAGACTAGACGTAATCATTATTGCTATCAGAGGAATAAGGAGATGAGGCCTGCCTGAGAGTTCCCCTCGATTCAAATTAAAATCTTCAAAATAACTCCGAATTTTTATCATAAAAACCTCCAACCTATATGGAAATAAAAAACGTCTTTAAAATGTCAGGAGGTTTTTTTTTTGAGATAAAACTTCGTACAGCTCACTTATTTGGCCCAAAGGCCAACCTTGTGAATTTTGTGAAAATCGCTTCTGATTTAGATATAGCTCCCACAATCTCATTCAATTTCCTTTAAATGTTGCATTAAACTTCTAAGATGGAATTTTCAAGGAATTTTTAAATATTTTTTTATGGATCTCCAAAGGTTTCGATTTCCTAAAATTATTTCTATTCAAGGATGTATAACATGCGTAATTTATTTCAAAATATCCTTATAAGAATCTTAAAAAGGGTGGATTTTTTACTCTACACAACTATGATGTATTTGTATTCTGTTGAGTATATATTTGCTCCTGAAGGATATAGATAAGGGAAGTATATGGTATATCCACGAGGAGTGGTTGACCCTTAAATTGATACCAATTACATTGGTTGTATGTACTCCGATGTGGGAGGTATTCTTTAATATTTAAAGGTGTCTATGTGTTATGATATTGTCTAGTACTATTACTACCTCTCTAGAGATCGCAAATGTTGCGCTGATCGTTTCGGTTATGGTCAATGACAACGACCACAATTTTCAGTGATGTTGGGAAAATAATTAAGGGGTGCAATGAACCGAAAACTTTATTGAGTTTTATTTTTATGCCTTTTTAGGGCGAAGGATTTACTATAGTCTGATTTTCTAGTCGCTCTTGAGGCCGTTAATATATGCAGAACCTCACATATTTACACGGTGAAGGGGATTTGACCAAAAACTTAGAATGACAGCTTAGATATTTCGAGGGTCAAATCAACCAAAACCTTTTATAGCGTAAATATTCACCCGGGGAAAACAAAATTTTGAAAATATGCCAGGGTTAGAAAGTGGATCTGTTGACATATAATCCGTCAAGAGAGTGCAAATATTTCCAGGCTCAGAATAAAGAAACGCAGAAAGTTAGATTTTCATGGTAGTTGTTTAGGGTATTATATGATCGGTCCCGTTCTTTAATTAGTGGGGGGTTTTCTAAAAAATATTTTTTTCAGTGATCTACAATTGGTCTGGAGTTTTTTAAAAATATTCTAAAGGGCCGAAAATAGACGTATTTTCCAATATATCTATAAAAGGGCTGCATATTTTTAAAATTTATGAAAATTCAAATTTGAGATAGCTCCCATAGGTTCGTCCAAACTTCTGTAAATGGTGGACAGGACGATGAAATGGGATTAAAACCTCCAAAATATCGAAAATGGGCAGCACATTATTACGTGGAATATGTCAAAATATAGACCTAAATCCATAATCTTTTGAACAAAATTGTCTCGCCTTCAAAGAAATCAGGAGACCAAATTGGAAGGACTCGATAATGTTCATATCGAACCAGCAGGCTTCCCCCGAAGTGAAATCCTGAGTAAGTGCATGTATGGGCGCTGTACCAAAACGTGGATCGATATACCCCATTTTCAATACCTTTTTAAGGGGTTTTTGGTCTATAATTCTGGACTCTATCGTGTATTTTTGCCCTTAATGTTTTAGTTGTTTGAAAAGTTTCTGTTTTTTGAGCGGGAATTTGAAGGAGTTGGGATGTTGATTTACAGAACCTATCGGGCGTCGGAATTTAATGAAAGTTTTAAAGATACTCCATTAGCTTCATATCAATTTTACATGTTTGAAACATCATGGGGAATATACCATAAGGAGTGGACCGAAAAGACCGATCTTCGGATTTTATATCGGTTTGATGAAAACGTTATTATGTGCAAAATTTGAATCACATTTGACAATCCATTAGCTTGATATTTGATTTACCTATATTTAACACTCACTTGGGAGATATCCCAGAACGTTTTGACCTAATCTAGGTCTGGTAAAAATTTAGCTATGTGCAGGGGGAGGATCAATGAAAAAAAAAAACAAAAACATTATGCTGAACAAAGTTTGGTTCAAAGCGGGCATTCTCTTAGCGTTATATTGTATCAGAAGTGGAGGACCTGATCAAGGTCGGATAAATTTGGATTTTCCCTTCGTTTTATATGAGAATAACAAATTTTCCAAATTTTGACCCTTTGTGGGGAAGTTACTAGAGGAAGTAGACTCGAACACTAAACAGGTTTGATAAAAATATTAAATTATGGAAGTTTGGTACAAATTCTGATGATTTAATTATGGACAAAATGTGTGCCATATTATGGAGAGGTATCAGAAATAGTGGATAGATATTTCACGTCTCCGAACAGGATTTAAGTTTGCAAGAAATATTAGGATATGCTAAGTCTGTGTGAAATCGATTATTCATTCACTTATGGACGAAAATTGTTAATTGTCCACAAAACAATATTTCGATTAGGCCCATTTTTCTCGTAGCAAAGTGTATATACCCCCATTTGCCATGAGGCTGAGGTACCTCCCACATCATGCCAATCTGAAACACCAGGCTTCACAAATAACTTATTTCAATAAGAATAAATTAACCTTAATTTTTGAAATAAATCAAATCTTTATACCAGATGGAGATCTTTTCAGATTTGGAAATGGAATAAAATTTGTAATTTTTAAATTTTATACTAACCAAAAATTAGTTCACCACTTCTTAGAAATCTCAAATTTTGTTTTTGTTTCTTCAATGGGTTTTCAATTTTCTTTTCGTAATATTCTTTAAAAAGTCCATGTCTTGTAGGGTCTTTCAAAAAACAAATTATTTAAAAAATCCACGCCTGTTTAGAATCTGAAATACATATTCTTTAAAAATCAAGCCTGTTTAGATCTTTAAAAAATATTCTTTAAAAATCCACTCCTATTTTGGTCTGCATATCTGATATTCCTTGAAAAAATATTCTTTAAAAAATCTACACTTTGTAGAGTCTTCGAAAAATATTCTTATAAAAATTACAACTTTATACTAACAAAATTTTTCAAACTGTTTCATCACTTCTTAGAAATCTCTATTTTTTTTTTAATTTCTTAATCGGGTTTCAATTTTTTTTTTTTCAAATTTGCAAACATTAAAAAATTATTCATTAAAAAAAATCCTCCTTAGACTTTGGAAAATTATTCTTAAAAAATCCTCGCCTATCTACGCCTACGTTTTTTTATTCATTCTTTAAAAATCCACGCCTATTTAGGCCTACGTTTCTTTTATTCCTTCTTTAAAAATCCACGCCTATATAGGCCTACGTTTCTCTTATTCCTTCTTTAAAAATCCACGCCTATATAGGCCTACGTTTCTCTTATTCCTTCTTTAAAAATCCACGCCTATTTAGGCCTACGTTTCTTTTATTCCTTCTTTAAAAATCCACGCCTATTTAGGCCTACGTTTCTTTTATTCCTTCTTTAAAAATCCACGCCTATTTAGGCCTACGTTTCTTTTATTCCTTCTTTAAAAATCCCCGCCTATTAACGCCTACGTTTCTGATATTCCTTCTTTAAAAATCCACGCCTATTTAGGCCTACGTTTCTTTTATTCCTTCTTTAAAAATCCACGCCTATTTAGGCCTACGTTTCTTTTATTCCTTCTTTAAAAATCCACGCCTATTAACGCCTACGTTTCTGATATTCCTTCTTTAAAAATCCACGCCTATTAACGCCTACGTTTCTTTTATTCCTTCTTTAAAAATCCACGCCTATTTAGGCCTACGTTTCTTTTATTCCTTCTTTAAAAATCCACGCCTATTTAGGCCTACGTTTCTGATATTCCTTCTTTAAAAATCCACGCCTATTTAGGCCTACGTTTCTTTTATTCCTTCTTTAAAAATCCACGCCTATTTAGGCCTACGTTTCTTTTATTCCTTCTTTAAAAATCCACGCCTATTTAGGCCTACGTTTCTTTTATTCCTTCTTTAAAAATCCACGCCTATTTAGGCCTACGTTTCTTTTATTCCTTCTTTAAAAATCCACGCCTATTTAGGCCTACGTTTCTTTTATTCCTTCTTTAAAAATCCACGCCTATTAACGCCTACGTTTCTGATATTCCTTCTTTAAAAATCCACGCCTATTTAGGCCTACGTTTCTTTTATTCCTTCTTTAAAAATCCACGCCTATTTAGGCCTACGTTTCTTTTATTCCTTCTTTAAAAATCCACGCCTATTTAGGCCTACGTTTCTTTTATTCCTTCTTTAAAAATCCACGCCTATTTAGGCCTACGTTTCTTTTATTCCTTCTTTAAAAATCCACGCCTATTCAGGCCTACGTTTCTTTTATTCCTTCTTTAAAAATCCACGCCTATTCAGGCCTACGTTTCTTTTATTCCTTCTTTAAAAATCCACGCCTATTTAGGCCTACGTTTCTTTTATTCCTTCTTTAAAAATCCACGCCTATTTAGGCCTACGTTTCTTTTATTCCTTCTTTAAAAATCCACGCCTATATAGGCCTACGTTTCTTTTATTCCTTCTTTAAAAATCCACGCCTATTTAGGCCTACGTTTCTTTTATTCCTTCTTTAAAAATCCACGCCTATTTAGGCCTA